TGTTACCCCTATATCTGATAGAAAATTGACGAGTTTTGATGAAAGATTTCTGCTTAAAAGTTGGTGTGTGTGTGTACGTACAGCATAGGGAAGTGGTGAATGTGATTATCTGTACCGATATGAAGAGAATAATTAGACAAATCCACACAAATAGAGGCTAGTACTTGATATTGAGAGGTAGACAAACGTAATCTACACCCACTACTCCCAGAACGCTACAATCCTCGTCTCAATACTCTCCCTCGGCGCCTCGCGCTCACTCCCAGGCAGTCTAAACGCCGTATGCGGACACCTCCACCCAGGCAACGCCCTCTCGGTGTCATACCCCTTGAAGACAACCATTTCCCACGGCTGCATCTCACTCATGTACCACCACTCATGCACCTGTCTGGCCTGCTCACCATGGCTCATGACGTAGTTCTCGCTCTTGTTCCCCGTGCGGCTGAACTCGCGCTGGCGGATCTGGTAATCCGAGTCGGGGACGGTAGCAGCGTCGCACACGGCGAGAGGGTCTTTTCGCACTGTTTTCAGAGGCCGCCACGCGCCCAGGAAGGCGAAGCGCCGGCTGCTGGGAAATAGGGCGGAGATGTGGGGAGGCAGGTCGAGCTCGATCTGGGTACCAGCCATGGCAGAAGCACTGCCCGCGTAGTCGACATGCGGGTGCCCAGACGGTATGTCTTGCCAACGGCCTTTGCTATCGAGGATGCCTTTTTCGTTTGGCGATGAGTGCGCACGCATTACGTGGTTGAATCCATAGGCGGTTGTTGCGCCGGTCCTGTTTGGGTGATGCATTAGTATTTCTTGCCTCTTCGCTCAGACGGTATTCTTGGTGGATTCAGAGCGGGAGATGTTACAAGTTCTTTACTATTTCTTCCACTTCTGGGTAGTACTCGCGCTTGACGTCTTCTTCCGTGCTTTCACGGCCAACCCGGTCTTTCTGGGGTAATGTGACGAATTTGAATCCATTCTCATCAAGATCAAACGTTCTATTGCTCGTTCGTACATCCCTAATGAGCATCTGACGAGTGTATTCGTTGTGGTCATCCAAGAATGGCGTTTTCCACGCGGACTTGGGTATCGGAATACCTGTAGCCGGAAAGTAGTTGATCGGAGCAACAACGTCGCCGCTGTGCGAATCTCGACGCGTTCCAGGCATACTTGCGAAAATGCTCGAGGCAAAAGTCGCGGATCAGAACTCAACATTCGTGAGGTAAAAACCTCATCTCGTGCCACACTGTCACATCATCATACATATAGGCGGACCCGCGCCTAACGAAGTGGGGTAAGTGCTGACATAGTGCAGCAACATATGCGTGGGCAAGTTATTGAACCTTCAGTCGTATGATTGCCATGTCTCATATCTCGTTAGTTATAATGCCGCGGATGCCACGGCTCTTGTCTATCTTGGTATTGGCACAGCCTTCTCCTAAAGAAGCTGCTTCAGAATATCTATCTGCTCCATGACAGCGCTCTTGCTTGTACCGCCAGTGGCATTCTTCAGCTCGACTGCGCGTTCGTAGTCTAAGCATTCTACAACATCATCACCAAGCCTGGAATCGATGCCCTTGAGCTGTTCAAGACTCAGCTTGTCCATGGGCACGTTCTCCTGCTCTGCCAGTGCAACCACGCGGCCAGAGATGTGGTGACCCTCACGGAATGGCACGCCCTTCCTGACGAGGTAGTCTGCGAATTCTGTTGCCAGCATCTCCGGAGCCAATGCAGCATGCATCTTGTCTGCGTTGATGCTGAGAGTAGACAAAACGCCAGTGGCGATCTGAATCGAGTCACTGACCGTCTTGATGTGATCGATGAGGGGCTCAACGGACTCTTGGAGATCCTTGTTGTAGGTTGTGGGGAGGCCCTTGATGGTGACGTAAAGGCCCGCCATGTGTCCGAATGCACGACCGCTCTTACCACGGATCAATTCGAGCGAATCTGCGTTCTTCTTCTGGGGCATCAACGAGCTGCCGGTCGAGTACGCGTCAGCTAGCCGCACAAAGCCAAACTCCAGACTCGAGTAGATGATCAAGTCCTCTGCCCAGCGAGACATCTTCAGCATGAAGCTGGATCCCCACTGCAGAGTCTCGAAGACGAAGTCGCGATCTCCGACAGCGTTCAAAGAATTGGGAAGGAGGCCTTCGAAACCGAGTTCCTGGGCCATGGCCACGCGGTCGATGTTGAACGGGTTGCCCGCAAGCGCACCGCAGCCGAGCGGGGATCGGTTGACGCGCTTGATCACCTCACGCAGACGCTCCAGTTCAGATGCAAAAGCGGTTGCGTGCGAAAGAATCCAGTGCGACCAGCGCACGGGCTGGGCTTTCTGGAGATGGGTGTAGCCGGGCATGAGCACGTCAATCTCGGCCTCTGCGCGCTGGACCGAAGTCTTGATCAGGAGCTTGAGATATTCCTCGAGTGTCTTGAGCTGCTCGCGCAGCCATAAGCGCATGTCGGTTGCGACTTGCTCATTCCTGCTTCGGCCAGTGTGGAGCTTTCCGCCAATGTCTTTGCCGATGATCTCGCTCAGCCTCCGTTCGTTGGCCGTGTGGATGTCCTCGTCGTTTGCCTTGACCTCGAATGTGTTTGACGCCCACTCTTGCTTGATCTGCGCCAGTCCTTGCTCGATGGCAGCGAACTCGTCGGCGGTGAGGATGCCATTGTTCTTGTTGGCGCGCGCAAAAGCAACTGAGCCAGCAATGTCTTCGGCGTAGAAGAGGCGGTCGTAGGGCAGCGAGGCGTTGTACTGCTCCATGACGGGGTCGAGGCCCTCTGTGCGTGCGTCTTAGTATCCAGTCATGCCTACCCCGTCTCCGTGGTTCAGTCGAGTCATTGGGAGCACATACGCGTGAAACGGCCGCCCCAGAGCATGTTCTCAGCCACCTTCTTCTCGGAAGCCATCTTGTATACGCGGAAAAGGGAGACCTGGGTGAATTGGAGTGTGACTGTTTGCGCGCTCCCGAAAAAAAGTTACTTATGACGGTCCTGCATCGGCGGCAAGGGTCTGTGATGGCGCTAGCCACTGCGGGGAACCATCCAAGCCCCGCCTTTGGCCCTCATTCACACAACGCTCATCACCAACACAAAAGGTATACAAGGTATACTTGCGTAACAAGGGCACTGGTTTGAATCTCCTTAACTTCGTGTTATCCATATCCATATTTCATACTTGTGAAAAAAACTCCATTGCATATGTTACCAAAACCAATGCCACCAAGTCATCCCAGAACACTTACTTACCCAGGCCGTTGCCTGCAGACTGCCCTAATGTTTTAATAAACCCCTTTACATGACTCCACACTCCTTCCAATCTTTCAGACCTTTGGGCATCTTTAGTACTGCATCATCATCGTCACCTGGAAAGGGGGTCTTCCTCCTCAAATAGTCCGGCCCATGACAAGTACCACTGTCTTTGCGCACATTGGCTTTACTCACAATTCCGCCATCTGGCTGCGCTTCCAGCTGATGTTGCGTCTCCATAAACAAGTCTACAGATGCTTGTTTCTCTGCTTGCGCTTCCATCGAGTTGAACATAGCGCGGGGTAATATGTGTCTGGGTGCTGGATGGATTAGTGGTTGCTCGCACCATCTAGTAACATGCGGTTTGTCTGCCATTGTGATGGATGTTCAGTTGGAATAGCTTGTCTCTTCTTATGTTTTTTTGAGAAAATAGTTCTTAAAAATGGATAATTTAATACCATCTGCAACAGTCGCAGTGTGAACATACATTTGCGACTGGTGGCTGTTTGGTGTACAGCTCATTTCATAATGCATTTTGGAATAATGTCGAGGATGTACGACCGAATACCATGATGGATGTATTGTTAAGATGCAAACGATTCCTTGATTGAACAATGCAGTCTAACTCCAAACTATGCGTCGTGATTCATTACCATCAGCATCAGCGCTGATGCGAAAATTGAGTATGCAATATCATCGCGGATCCCAACTCTTGTCAAGCGATGTAGTCTTCTTCCCCCCTGCAGCGATGCCTCATCTTCACATAAAGGCACCAACAACACTCAAAGCCATCAAGATGGAAAGGGCCCAACTTCCACTTCCGCTAATCCTCAATCCAGCACTCGCATACGATCCCTCGTTGCCGCCGGTGGCCCTTCTCGCGCTGCGCGCCTTCTGCACATTGAAGCATCCAAACATGCCTTTTCCACTTGCACTCTCTTTTTCAAATGCCGCCATCTTCTCAGCAAGGCAGCTTTGAACAATGTCCGGGGAGTCAGTTATGCAGTACTGAAAGCAGTCGTCGTTGTCCTCTGAGTTGACGATGACAGGTTTGGAAGTAGCAGAACCTGGGGAGGATGCTGTTTCTGGCGCGGAATACGTGGCAATGGTATTGATGTGTCCGTTGCAGCAAGCATCCAGAATCGAGCTGTTGGAACCGCCAATGGGAACAGCACACGAAGGGTGGGTGGTGGGTGGTTGTGGGATCGAGGTAACAGGCTGGCAGAACATGGTGGCCGTCTTGTATCTTGGTATAATGTTTGTACGAAAAAGCGGACTGTCCAAGTTGTAATGGGTATCGTGTAGTCGGTCGAGATTTGCGATTTCAGTGATGTTATTAGACACGGCTCGCGTGTAAACAACCAGACCTTTAGAAAGAGGATGCAGAGATTCTTTGTATGAAATAAAGATGAGACTCCGATGAAATGCTGATGAGAGAAAAACAAACGAGGTGACTCTTTGGAAAAGTGATTTTTGTATGGAGTTGTTCACAGAACACACTCGAAACAGTCAAGGAAAAAAACCAATGAAAATGACACAAGGAGAGATGAATTGTCGAGGCTGCTGGATGCTCTCACTGCTGAGTGCAGAGCCGCATTCATATGTACCGAACGACTTCTAAGAATATCCGGGTGGATAGGCGGGTAGAAGGGCCAGCGTGAGGCCTAGCGTTACGCGCCCACGGCTCGCCTGTGCCACGTCTTTGGTTGGCCTGCAGCGTTCGACGAGACAACGCGCTAAATGCTCGGCTGTGCCCGAAACACCTTGTTCTGTTGTGTTTGAAACGTTGCCATGCCCATTTCTCTTAGCCTTTATGCTTTGGCCAGTCCAATGAGCTGTAGGAATGCATTGGGAGGTACCTGGTCACGTGCGGCACAGCGAATGCCCACGCGCTTACTTCGCGAAATTGCTGGTGGGTCTCAAGATCCAAACAGGCGTCTTGAAAGGCCATTGGGCTCTGGCAGCCTTGTTTTGTCGATTCACGGCGGAAAGACGGCAATTTGTGAGACTTATGTGGCGGGCCTGAGGCTGTGAGTGCGCTTACTGAAGGATGCTGGTATACGGCTCATGCTTTCGCGGCATGTGGCTGCTCTTGCGGCCTTCCAATCGTTGATTCGCTCTGCCACAGCCGCTTTCTATGTACCATGCAGGAAATCGAGCGGCCGCAATGCCAGAATATCCAGGACGTCGAATGTTGAACATTAATCACTTCCACTTTCATCTTCGTGCGCGCTTGCCCAAGGACTTCTTTTGCGTAGTGACGCTCCTCGCTTTTCGAGTACAAACGGTATAGGTGCTAAGCAAATCGCGAGGGCCATGAGTACTAGGCTTGCGTTTCTCGTGCCCATGTTCAGAAACAGATGCCTTCCTACCAGTGGAAATCCAGCTCCAGCCAGATTGCGAATTAGTCCAATGCCAGCAAGCGCCGATGCAGAGTATGTTTTGTAGGCATCTTCCGTATATGTGAGGGTCATGAGTACTAGATAGGACATGAGCAGATGGCTTTCGGTAGAGGAGGAATACTCACTTAGGGTATAAAAAGACCAGCCCCAAAATGCGCTAGCAACCACTGCAAACGACGGGTGTATTTGCGGCATAGCTGTGAGTGCGAAAGCCAGAAGCGATACTGGCAGCACGATGGCAGCTACTTCCGCGTAATGTACCCTTGCCTCTGGGACATCGTGACGGTCAGCTTGAGCCACACGCCGTTGATAGTATTTTTCTTGAAAGGTGTTAGTCATGAGACCGACTGTGATGCCGACGACAATCCCAAGAAAGCAGATGCCCACGCCGACTGTATCAAACCCATATCCATCAGGCCCAAAAATCATATGGAATGCGCCGTTGAACAAGAAGGAAAGGCCGTACAAGAATCCGTTGTAAAGAGCACCAAACTGAACAATGGCCTCACTACCTAAGAATCGGAAAGGCCTGGCTAGTGCGGTTCCGAATAATTGTTTCACTCCTCGTTGCTTCAGCTCGTCTGGCAACTCCAAACTGTCGTCTCCTGTTGCTTGACTCAACTCTCTTGCCCTTCGCAGCAAAATAACGCTGTGTCGAGTCTCTCCCAAAACGCAGAGCACCGTAGTCATGATAATCCAAAACACAAAGCAGATCAGTAGCATGACGCGAAACACGCTGTGCCACGATCGGCCCTGTGCGATGAAGGAGAAGAGCACAAATCCAGTAGGGCTTCCGCCGGTGGCCGCCCAGAGAAACCACGACATGGCCGGCCCTGTGTCATTGTGGTGAAAAAGATCCGCGATAGTACCGCCAAAGTTGGATATGGTTGTCGAAGAAAAATAGCCGGAAAAGAACCTCAGGACCAGGAAAACGCCTAGACTCCCAACGTATGTCGTTCCCAATAGCAAAAGCAGGAAGATTGCATACGACAAGATGTAGATGGGCCTTCTTCCATAGTACTCTGACAGTGGCGCCAGCGTCGTTGGTCCAAAGGCCAATCCAAGCACGTACATGCTCAGCCCCAGCAACGCAACGCTTGGTGATACGCCCATGTCTTTTGCAAAGTCGCTCGCTACAGGACTAAACCCGCTTGCGCCCCAAGAGACACTGAGATCTATGGGTATTATTGCAGCGACCATGAGCCATTTTCGCGCTGTCGACCAGTTGCGTGGGTCTTCTGGATCGTTGGGTTTGAACGATATGATATTGACTGGCGGCCTTGGGAGCAAGGGTTCTCTCTCGGCTGGGGTGGCGCTCATGTTGGTGTTGGCATAGACGGCTTGGGGACAGGGAGTAGTTGCCACATGGGAGCTTCAACATGCGCCTGGAACAACTGCTGGAAGTAAAAGGGACGGTAGCTTGGTGCAATTCGCCGATGATGACGTAGTCATGACCTCATCAGACACTATCCATATGGACTCCAGAGCCTCGACACCACTGGACGCACGTATAGCAATACTCGATATCTTTTTTCTGCATTTGGAGTATCGCGAGTCAGCGACTCAGGCTATCAAATGCAGACCTCCGTTATCACGTCATGTTGTGCCGAGCAAACCCCGTCTCTTACGAGGTCCCAGGATTCTGGTAACCAGCTCTTGTACGAGTCGTATTGTAACTCGCAGGGTTATAACAGCTCTGGTATTAACCATGCAACCACCATCTACACGGGTGTACAAGCCTCACCTTCAGCCAAAACTACATACTCACGTTTTGCACAGCTGTTGATCAGGTGATTCAGTTCTCAGGTGATCCAACCCCACTGCCATGTGCGGACTTCAAGTTCTATTGTTTTATATCATACGTGGGTAAATGGGTAAATGGATGCTCATTGCTGCGTGTATTGTGTAGCATAGTTTGGCCGCGGAGTAGCACATAGGTATACGTGATCTACGCGGTTCAGGTCACTGAGACTTTCATCTCCCCTACTGACAGTAACTCCGGTCTTATGGTACGCAGGAAAGTACCAGATTTGGCATGTAATCTCAATGCTGAACAAAGACATGTGCCTGACTAGTGTAGGTACCCTGTCTTGCAGAGAGAACCATATGATCTCCCCTAGCATCCCAGGGCAGGGCACATATCAGCCGCCGACGAGATGCCGGTCCGGGATTAACTCACCATCTGTTCCACTGCTCTGGTCACCAGCTTCGGTCATCATCGCACCGAAGGCCGGACTAGCGACTTTACCCCGTATCCCTGACTCCTCTTTTACCCCAGATTCGACTAGGCTACCCGTCTTGCTGTCCATTAATTTTTCCGGAAACGTGACATTATAAACACGGAAATGGGAATGCTCTCCAAGCCAAGCTGTGCTTACCGCAACCTCCACATTCACCATGCGCACCATTGCGACTACGGCGGTGCTTCTCCTGTCTGCCAAGACATGGGCCTTTTTCCATGCCACCCAGAATAATCAGAGTCTTACCATTGCTAACGATCGGCTGGTCGCGTCGGTGAGCAAATCGAAGGGGTACATCAATGTCTTGACACTCGACGGGCAGAACCTTCTGGGAAAAGAGTCAGGCAGTACCGGAATTGGACCGTATCTTGATTGCTACTGGTTAGTGATGCAATGACGGAAAGTATGGAGCGATTACCTGACTCCAGATCCTACACATAGTATACCAAGTGGATTTTGGACGCCTGGAAGTGGCAAGAACGTCCAATACCAGCTCTTCAGTGGCACCGATTCGACAGGTACTCCATATGGCGGCATCAGCATGGGGGAAACATATGCGCCTACAGGCCAACGACTGGAACAGTACTGGTTTCTGAAAGAAGGCGAGACGGGTCTTCACACCTTCAGCCGACTGGTATACCACAACAAAACGACGCCGTTTTTGCGGAATCTGCAGGAGTTCCGGACGCTGTTTAGACCAAATCACGACCCTCCGCTCTTTACGCATTTCGTTACTAACAGCAAGTTTTTCGCGCCTCGTCCAGACACGGACGGCGAAGTGGTAGTCCAGGACGCAACTTGGCAGCTGGCCAACAAGGACGATCCGTACGTCAAGGGCGTAGGAGATTACTTCACCAAATACACGTTCCAGGACACATGGCGCGACCATCTGGCGCACGGCATGTATGCTGATGGCAGTGGCAGCACGAACGGGTCTACATACGGCGCCTGGCTTGTCCACAACAATGTCGAAACGTATTTTGGCGGCCCCGTGCATTCAGACCTCGTCGTAGATGGCATCGTGTACAACTACATAGTGTCCAACCACCATGGCGACCAGACGCCCAACATCACCGACGGCTTCGACCGCACGTTTGGGCCGCAATATTTCCACTTCAACACGGGCGGCACGCTCGAGCAGCTCCGCAAAGACGCAGAGCAATACGGCCTCCGACCAGACTGGAACGCCGCCTTCTACGACTCCATCGCACAGCATGTGCCCAATCTCGTCCCGACCTCGAGCCGCGGCACCTTCAAAGCAAGCATCCAGCTTCCCCCCGGCGCCAAGAAGCCCATTGCCATTCTCACGGAAAACGGGCGCAACTTCCAAGACAACGTCTTCGACACAACCGCATACCAATACTGGGCCGACGTCTCCACCTCCACGGGCAAAGTCACCATTCCCCGCGTCAAGCAAGGCAAATACAGACTCACCGTCTACGCCGACGCCATCTTCGGCGACTACACCCAAGACGACATTGTGATTTCGGCCTCGAAAACCACATCCATAGCAGTAACATGGACGCCCGAATCCGCCGGGAAAGAGCTGTTCCGCATCGGGGTGCCCGATAAATCGTCGGGCGAGTTCCGCCACGGCACCGCTGCATCACCAACGCACCCCCTGTTAACTGAGGAATACCGACTCTACTGGGCGGCCTACGACTTCGTCACCGAGTTCCCGCACGGCGTCACGTATAAAGTCGGAGTCGACGACGCGGCCTCGGCGCTCAACTACGTGCACTGGGCTGTGTTTGGCGGCAAGGCGAATGCCCGGCGCCCAGTCCCCGTGCCGGACCACCAGTACAACTGGACGATTTTGTTTGACGCGCATGCAGCAGACCTGGCGGGAAGGGAGAAGGCGACATTCACGGTGCAATTGGCGGGTGCGAAGACGGCGGCAGGAAACACGGACGTGTTTAATGCCAGTGAGCCGTATTCGAATCTGCCGTACAGTGTTAGTGTGAATGGGCGGGATTTGGAGCCGTGGGTGATACCGTATGTGCATGTTCTTATCTCGTCATTAACTTTTTTATTTTTTCTGTCTTCGTATCAATGTCTTTCTTCTCCCGCTTATCCATACTCACACCACCCAGCTACTACCAGTCGTCCTCGTGTGCCGTCCGCTCAGCAATCGTGTGCTACAACCTCGCACACAAATTTGAGTTTTCGGCGTCGATGCTAAAAGAAGGCGAGAATATGTTTGTGCTGAGTTTGCCGTACAACGCAACCGACTACGAGAGTGCAGTGCTGCCAGAGTCGGTCTATGTGCAGTACGATGCACTGAGACTGGAAGTGGCTTAGTGGGGCCGGATTGGAGACCAGGACAGACAATTTCATTGTGCTAACGTGTGATGATGTGAAAAGGGTCAAACTCCTTAATTGGTATTCAAGACTCCGTGATATGCAACCGCTAAAAATACATGTTGCTTTCTCTTGGTTGTGCGATTAAGCAACTTCCTCGACCATCTTGCCACTAAAAGGCTTCTGTGCTTCCTTTTGCGTGTCGCCTGCAAAGAGGCTGCCAACGGGGGCTTGTAGCCATTCTTCTGGAACGGCCAATTGGGTGCCCTTTGCGTTCTGGATGTAGCGCACGAAAAGCGGGTTTGCTCGCTCGGGCTCTGGTTCTTCTAGTCCCTCTTCTGAGGCATCTTGCTGGGCCTTGCGACCGCGCTTTGGGGGCTGTTTCTTGAGGAGGCGGTTGATGGTGTCGAGCTAGAGGATTCGTTAGTAAATGCCCCAGTTGGAAGCCGTGGATAAAGGCAGGGTAGACAAACCTTTTCCTCTTCGTTCCTCTTCTCGCTCAGGTTCTTTCTTCGTCTCGCCATCTCGGCCCTGCGCATAGCGTGTTCCTCGGCTGTGAGGTGCTTCTTCTTCTGTGCCTCGTTGGAGAGTGCCAGGAGGCCTCCGTCGGCGTCATCGGTGACGAGGGCGCGTTGTCGTTTGGTCATCTTGGTCACGTCGGGCGTCTGGTCGCGGCTGAGGTCCTCGTCGCTGTCCATGTCCTCGTCCATCTCTGCGGGCGTCACGCCTATGTCGTCGTCGTCCTCGCCCTCGGCATCCTCGTCCTCGCCCTCGGCGTCTTCGTCGTCCAGGTCGGAATCCGGGTCGCTGAGCTCTTCGTCATCGTCGTCGTCCATGGCCATTTCTTTTGCCTCGACCTTGTCCTGGGCCTTGGTCAGACTCCCGGCCGGGGCTGACTTGACGGGAATACTGCGGTGCGAGCTGACGGTGATGCGCGGGGCCGGTGTGTCCTCCATTTCGTCGTCTTCATCGCCCTCGGCATCCATGTCTTCGTCGTCGTCGTCGCCCTGGGCATCTTCGTTGTCGTCCGAGTCGTCGTCGACGTCCATGGCATCCGCCTCGTCCACGTCATCCTCGTCCTCGTCCTCATCCTCGTCCTCGTCGTCCTCGTCGCTGTCGACCTCCTGGACCACGCGACTGTTCCGGGAGGCGCGCTTGCCGGCGACAATGTTCTGGCGGCTGACGCCCGCCTTGGACAGGGAGCCGCCAATGGCCTGGCGGAGCTTGTTGGGCGACGACTTCACCGTCAGGTGGATCGACTGGCGCGTCTCCTCGGGCGAGGAGCGCTGGATGGTGGCGGCAGCGGGCGACTGGTTTGCAGTGCTGCGTCGCGGGCGGGTCGACGAGGCCGTGGGGGTGGCACTGTGAGGCGTTAGAGAGGCGGGAGCTGCACGGGAGCGTAGGCGCGGCATGGCGGTGGCGAGTCTGTGTGGTCGAGAAGTGGGAGGCGCAAAGACGACAGGGCAGGGCGGAAGGATGACGATAGTGACAGCGCACCCGTCTGTCCCGGCGGCTCAGCACAGGGGGGGTGTTGCGGGCGCGTGGCACAGAGATGGGCGGTGAAAAGAGGGCGCGCCGTCGTGGCCGTGAAGGGAGAGGAGAGGGAGAGGCAGAGGCCTTGCCCGTGGTTGCACGTCGCCTCGCCGCGCTGCCCTTGGCGACAGGCGTCGACGTGCAGGCAAGATTAAGCTCTCGGTCGCGCAGTCAGCCACATGATAATCCCATACATACCTGCTGTTTCCTCGACGGCCGTCCCAGCCAGAGCCCTCGGACTCGTCATGCTCGGTGCTTATGCGTCGCCCCCGTTTCGCCGCGCGGTCTGCCATGTCCGCCGTCTCGCCAGCGCACGCGTGCTATGCTTGGGGAGAGATTTAATTGGCCGTCGCGACGACCCAACGCGTGTTGTTGCTTGACAGCCTCAACCTCGACTTGGAGATGCGCAAGCCGTCTTCCCCAGATCCCGCTCGCGCTAGCCCAATCCGGCTAATGCGCCTGGCCCGTCCCAGCAATACTTGCACTGGGTACCTATACACCTTACCTTGTCACAACGCATCTTCACTTTCTTGTTCTTTCACGCACGCTTCACACGTCAATGGCAGCAGAGAACCGCTTTCGGATACATTGGCGTACTATGCTACGAGCAGTCTACACTACACCCTGGCCCACTACCCAAGACTGGCCCGAACCGTCTCCTCAAAATCCTCCTTGGGAACGCCAAGCTTGTCGTTCCAGAGACCCAACGACGAGAAGTCGCCCAGCGGCTCGTCCTTGCTGAACATGGCCCCCTGGATCAAGGCTGGAATGCCAGAGTAGTCTCCCTTTTGGAGCTTGGCAGTCCCTTCTGCTATGTGCTCCTTTACACTGACATTCTTCACCGTCCATTTGGCACCAGTCACCTTCTCTGCTGCTGCCAGGATGTCCTTTTGTGTCGTCTGGAACCCGCTGATGTAGATGAACTGGTTCTTGGTCAGGTCCGCATGCTCGAGCGCCTTGACCGTGGCAGCGCCAATCTGGCTGAGGTTGCTGGCAGAGAAGGTCGCCTCGCCTCCATCATACAGAGTCGCTGTCTTGGAAGCTTGGTCGAAGCCCAGGAAGCCAACTTTCAGGCCCCAGTCGAAAAATGGTCCCGTGGCTATGCTCGTCCAGCTAATCTCACCCTCCTTGCTCTTCAGGTAGTTGACGGTGCCGTGCTTGGCCTCAAATACGGGCACAATTTCACGAGTTCGCTTGTTGGTTGTGTCGCTTCCGTACTCTGAAGGGAGGAAGCGCTTCACGCCTGCTGCAATGGCCGCATCAATCAACTTGTTCTGGTCTCCGAGGGCCGTGCCGCCGACAAGTGAAATCACAGCATCTTGTCCCTGGAATGCCGCCTTGAGGCTTTTGGCCGAGTCGTAGTTTGCGCGGATCACTTTGACGCCAGATGGAAATGTCGAGCTGGAGCCTTCACGAGAAAGGACAGTTGTGTTAAAGGCCGGCGTCTTGAGGAAGGCATCCAAGATGGAGGGGCCGAGGTTGCCGCCCGCCTGGCAATGTTAGTAAGCACACATGCGGTTGTACTTAAGAGACATACGCCGATGATGATGACGTTCTTGATGGACATGTTGGAGAGATTTGCAGTCAAGATGAGAGAGTCGAGGGTTTTTCAAAAAGAAGGCGTAATGGTATTGTAATAGGAGTATTGCGGGCTGGGTGGTTTGTTCTGAGGAACCATACTTCGCCTGAGGTACTCGATACTTATATACCCGAGAGTGCACGTCAAAAGACGTGATTCTCCATGGCTATGGTGTAAGTCTAGCCCCCCCTCCCCATCCACGACTTCGGTACTGCCGTCAAAGCGCTTGACTGCCGCGCTCATTGATAATACCATCCAAGACTGCTTGTGCGGCATTGCCCCGCTTGAAGCTTTCTGGCCATGGTAACCCCTCTCTACAGGAACCAATGGTACGCTATGACAGCAGAGCAAGCCACGCACGCGTGTCACAGCATCGTCTCGAAGCTTCAGTCGAGTCTGGATAAGCGTAGCATACTAGTTGCCGACAGTTGGTCCGCCGTCTAGCTGAAACTTTGATACCATTGCGGCAAGTCGTAAGACGAGGTTTGGGGCGGGGGCCTGCTTAGCACATCAAGCGGAAACGAGCCGAAGCGCCAACTCCATTCTTGGATGCATGATTTGTACACTGCCACGGCATCACTCCGATGCCATCAGCTCATCAATCCACCATTACACGACTCCCACATAAGATCAATCAGCATGACTAATCTATCGCCGCTGAAATGCTGCTGCGCTCACTGCACCTCCTCCAGCCAAGTTGGGTTGGATACATGTGGTTAGTAACCGCTGCTCGCGATTACCAATTGCCCTACGTACGTCATCAGGGTACTCGCACAACTTCACAGACATACTTGGGATACCATCGAAGCATGCTACTGCCAGCCAGGATGTATCCTTGCCCAGCTCAGGCGAGTTCGTAGGCGTGGTACACAGATGAAACACTCAAGTCGCCTACATCTAGTGCTCGTAGTCGGCACTTTTTATCGTCGTAGAAAGACCACAATCCCAGACTCTACCTCGAAAATCCCGCAAGGCTGCCTTTGGTGCAGTATCTGCACATTGGAAACTCGCCCTCGTAACAGAATCATGTTCTTGGTGGGTCAGGCAAGAAAAGAAAGCCACCAAGATCCCCGTAGGGAGTTCACTGCTGTGCATCCAAGCGCTGTGAACGCCTACAATGTTGCTCGGCTCTGCCAACCCAACTGCCAATGGCTCCAACAATGAGTGGGTGAACTCTCGATAGCTGCAGGTCTTCTTCGCGTATTCTCACTGTTCACCAGCGCAATCCATTGTGTACACACTCCTCGACTGCATAGAAAAGATAAGCCTTCGTTGGGAAATAAAACCGACCATCACCACGAAGGTCCAACCATACGCTCCACAAGCACAACCAGGGGTCCAGAGGCCACGGAACTGATAAATCTTTAACGCTTTAACATAGATATCGAGGAGATACTCAACAGCGGTAAGTCTGAATTTCGCACCTCCAAGCAGCAAGAGCAGGAAACAAGATGGGCATATACAACTTTGAGGTCTACTCCTCTTTCACAGACAGATGGAACTCACACCACTCCTCTCCATACACAAATGACTACCGCTCGGGATACTCGACAGAAACATCTCGCCACTACCCATCCCATTCGTCCTCTTCCCACTCCACCGAGGATCGCGACCAGCCCAGCACGAGGACCCACAGGCGTTACCACACAGAAGAGAGACGGCCCTCCGGTAGCTTTTTCCCAAGCGAGCGTGTGCACCAATACCGAGACGAGTATTCCCGCGTCCCCCCGCGAGATAGCACGTCGTACAGATATACGTATAGGACCTACCGCGCGCCGTGTCCTTCTCCCCCACTACTCCCCCCAAAGCGAGCAGCAGCATACAGTTCGAGCAGGTACACGGCGGAAGAGCGGTATCCATCTTCTCAGTATTCAGCTTACTTCTCGGACTTGGAGAGCACGTGTGATTCTCCGCCGTCGCCACGGGAATACAGCAGTTCGTATGCGTATTCTTGGTCGAAACCACATGATCGAACGGGCTCGTCGCCGTACTACTCGTATTCGGACTCTTCAAGGACTTCGTCGTCTTCTTCTTCTTCTTCTTCGTCTTCTAGGACTTCCGACTCCTCCGACTCCTCCAACTCTTCTTATTCATCTACCCCCTCAGGCACCAAACCACCGCGAGATCTCTACACTGTGCTTGGCGTTTCACGCAACGCCTCGTCTGCAGATGTGAAGAGAGCGTATCGCGCCATGAGTCTGAAGTGGCATCCTGACCGGTGTGGGGACAAGGACAAGGACAGGGCTACAGAGAAGATGGCTGAGATCAACCAGGCGAGGACCGTCTTGGGAGACGAGGCAAAGCGGGCGCATTATGACCGCTGGGGACTGCTGCCTGACGATTCGTAGATTCGGTGGGGTCTCAGCCATGCTCAGCTTTGCGGCTTATAATGTTGCATGTGAACCCGTGGCGCCTGAGGAGATCAAGTCGTTGTCCAAACGGCGCTGAGACGCAACAGCACAAGATACATGATGAGAGGTCTGAACCGGATTATTCAATACAATCGCATTGAGACGGCTACGAGCTACTCGATGCCTGCCATGCCTCAGTTGCAAATAGCAATACCACATGCAAACAAATACATATCATATCATACAATCCCGCCCAATCTTTTGAACAATGATGCTTTTTACTACGACATTGGCACAGGTCTTAGATGCCCATCCTTGTCGTACTTTGCCTTGAAGAATGTATAGCTCAGCGTGACCGTCTCAATACCCTTCATATTAGGATCCGTCACAAACTCGGGATCAATGTAGAAAAACACAGGCATATCGACCGTCTCACCCGCATTCAGCCGTTGCTCCTCAAAACAAAAGCACTGGATCTTGCTAAAGTAGGGCGCAACCTGGCCCGGTGTCACGGAGTAGGTGGCCACGCCGATAATGTCCTCAGGGGACTTGTTCGTCGCCGTGTAAAAGGCCAAGGCCGTCTCGCCAGGCAGCACGCGCACCTCGCGTTGCTGCGGTACAAACTTCCAGGGAAGCACGTCCGACACGGAGCCGTTGAATGTGATGCGGATGCGCGGGTGGTTGGCCACGGGCTTCAAACGCTCGGCGGGGTCAACGCTCGTGTTGCCGCCGTGGGCCGCAGACTTGATGGGCTGGCCTCCCCAGCCTGTTTGCTGGCAGATCTGGAACCATGTTTAGCATTGGAAAATGTGAAGTCAAGGTTGGGCATTGATACCATCTTGTACATGGGCACAGAGCCATATGTTATAGCCACAAAGCCCACGATTACGCTAAACACGTAGTTCCTGTGCATGCTCAGCAATTGCGCGCCACACAACATGGCTTATATCCCTACATGACGGTCCTGTTCTTCATCTTGTACTGCGCGTGCATCTGGTCCATCCTGGGCACGGTACCCTGCGGCGCAGACTTGGCCGTGTTTAACCATCTTTGCGCCGTGAAAGCGGGATTGCGGGCGCGAGGGACCCGGGCCAGCGAGCGGGAGCATGCCAAGCAAGTCCAGGAGCCGGATGGCCTTATGGGCAGCTGTCGCAATGGCGATGTAAAAGACATTGTGGGGGTGGGGTGAGATGCGCTGAGCTGGGGTGTTGTCGAATCCTCGGTGGATTGATGGAGGAGCAGTGGAACTTCGCCGCGGGATTTAGCCCGTTTGGGAAGTCCTCCCAGGAACAAAAGTTGCGATGCGACGGCGCGCATCATCTTTGCCTCTTCATCTCCAGCTCGGCGCTCGCTGATCTTTCTATTACGACTACCGACTAGAGCTTCCCATACTGCCAATCCATCATCTCAGCAGCATGGCAGACGTGCTCTGTGGAGTCTGCGCGACAGAGCCAAAAAAGTACAAGTGCCCGACTTGCGCGCTCCCATAGTACGAACAGCCAGTTTTCTCTCACAGCAAAGACACTGACGCAAGCAGCTGCTCATTAATATGCTTTAAAACCCACAAGGCAACTCATCCCGAAAACATTACCACGCCGGCGCCCACCCCCGCTGAGCCAACCCTACCGCAACCAGCACCACCCGCTCCGATACCACGCTATCTGAAGAGCCGCACCGACTTCTCTGTCCTAGCCACCAACCCCAAATTCCAGGCCCTTCTAAAAACACATCCCACGCTCCTGTCGTCCCTCCAACGCGTCTACGCAAAGACGATACAGCCAGACCCGGAAGATGAGCGCCGCCGCCGCTTGCTCGAGAGGAACGCGTTCCGAGGGCGCGGCGCAAGAGGAAGGGGACGAGGCAGGGGCAGAGGCGGAAGAGGCGGCTGGCACGGGGAGGACAGAGAAGAGCGGTGGACGCCGAAGAAGGGAGACAAAGATGCAATGGCGGTGCTAAAGGAGATTCGGGACGGTGAGACTCAGGACGACGAGAAGGAGGCCATGGCCCAGTTTGTGGGTCTAGTCGACGAGCTGTTTGCGCAAAAAGACAAGACGAGCGGTGTGGAAGGATGCTGAGATTTGACACATCACGCCCGAATATCACGCACCTACACCCGTCAGATATGCATGCCAGCACACGAGAAGCTCACGAGCAAATAACGCACTATTTCCTCGGGCAGCATGGAAGTTACTACTAAGTACTGAACTTCGACACGCCAACGCTAGAACTCGGTGTCTCTAGCCTTCTCTATCCACCGACACAACTGCATACCTACCCCTTCCACATGATGTCTCGCGGCAAAGTCACCTGCTCGACCTCATGTAGGACAGTTGCATTCGCATCATGGAACGCTAAACATTCCGACTCAACAAAAGTCTGTGCAGCTAGCTGCCCTGCCTTTAGCGCAGACCAGTCTATAGCCTCCGCTTCTAGTCTCCGTGTCTATCTGCTAGCCACGACTAGCTGGTCGCAACCTGCTTCTCGGGATTCGTACAGTCACTCGCAGAAAGGTTCGCCTCGCCGCCGATTTTACGCTCAAAAAAACTGGCTTACTTTGTGCTCGTATATCTCCATGACTACGTTTTAAACTGTCCTACAATCAAACCAATATATATATATATATATATATATATAAATAGAGACAAATTCTATGATACGGCATTTATAAGCTTTTTATAAATTGTAAGAGAAGAAGTACTTACAACTTAAAAGTAAAAAAATTCTATAATTTTTTATATTCTCCCTACTTTAAAAACTTACTACTACTTAACCTACATATCATTTATACCATCCTACACATAACCCTTACCTACCTATTCCAATCTACACTTACAACAATGTAGCCTTGCGACAAAAGGACCTTTTCTTTTGTAAGGAATCCTAAATTCTAGTGGCGTTGGAAAAACGACCGACGTGGACCCCTTTTTTTTGGGGCGTAAGTAGTACTGTATATACTACTATACTAGCTAGCCTATGTGTTGAATGTGCCGAGTCAGTTGATGTAGAAGAGATTGCTATGCGCCTTGATGCGTATATGCACTCTGTTATGAAATCACTTGTACTATTTTTATTTCGTCTAGGAGTGATTTGGACGTGTTGATGTACTTTGCGGATTTCGCGGCACATAAGGAAATTACGCATTCGACAACATCTCGTACGTTGTGGCAAAATATGGGGGTATGCCCAAAAAGCAGAGTTTGATATTAGATATATTTGCTAGAATACCAATTGAATCGTACAATGCCATATCTCGTCTACGAGCAAACAATTGCTACAAATGCTACTCTTCTACATGCCCAAAACACCCTTCAAGCCACGGACCTTGCCCCGCAGGTTTCCGTAGCCCAGCCACACAATGCCCTGCGCCATGTTCCATGCTTTGACACCCGCACCCTCGCCCTGCAGCGGGATGTCCATGGGCGGAGGAATCCTGGTCTTGATGCCTGCCCACGACCACCGATCCCGCGTGATGCTCTTCTGGTTGCACAGGCTCCTCAGCCCCTCTTTGCCTGCGAAACGGCCATAGCCACTGCCTTTGGTGCCTCCAAACGGCATCTGTACCATGTAGTAAACGGCAAAGTCGTTTACAGCCACCATGCCTGCGTGTAGGGAACGAACGACGAGTTCAAGATCGCGTGTAGATCGGCCAAAGACAGAAGAGCCTAGAGCATACGATGTGCTGTTGGCAATGGAAATAGCGTCGGTGACGGATTCAGCCCGGATCAAGAGGAAGACGGGCGCAAAGAGCTCAGTCTGGGCAATCTTCATGGTAGGCGTGACGTCAACGATGAAAGTAGGCGTGAAGTAATGGCCCTTGGGGAACTCGGGGTGGATGTATCGCTTTCCGCCTGCTACAACACGCGCACCACTGTCGACAGCGTCTTGAATAAGCTCCTCGAGTCTAGAGTAGCCGGCGTCTGATATCGAGGCACCAATGTCAATGGGCACGTCGGAGGAAGCGTTGAGTATGGAGCCAGGACGCAGGGCACGAATCTTGGGTGTGAGGTACTCGATGAGGCGATCGTAGACTTTTGGAAGCGCAATGACTCGCTCGATGCCAATGCAGTTCTGCCCTGCAGATTGAAAGGTACCGCGCATAAGGATGCTGGCGATGCGCTTGAAATCACTGTTGGATATGTCGTCGAGGACTATCGCCGGGTCCTTGCCGCCCAACTCAACACATACTGGTGTCAGTGCCTTTGCAGCCGAGGCGCAGACGTGGTGTGCGACTGGGCGTGAGCCAATAAAGGTTATGTGGGAGATGGATGGATGCGAGGTGAGGTAGTCGGCGACGTTGGGCCAGCAAACGACGGACTGGACGAGATCAGGCGAGTGGCCGCATGCCTCTAGAGCGCGGGTAGCGATGGACGCAAAGTAGGACGACGACCAGGCGGTGGCTTCGGAGCCCTTGACAATAATGGCATTGCCGGCGAAAATGGAGGCTATTACGGGGCTAATGAGGTTGTGGAATGGGTAGCTGAAATCCAGTCAGCGGAGTCGTTCCGCGCGCGCAGTCGTCCGATACTCACTTCCAGCTCACGCAAGCTGCGACCACGCCCAGGGGTTCCCAGACAACTTCGTTCCACTTGTACATCATAAAGAAGTTGGTGTCGCGCTTCTCAGCTTTCAGGCTCTTCTCTCCGTGCTTGATGGTCCATCTCAACTTCTCCACCGTCACTAAGATCTCACCCAAGCTGGCATCCACCATGGTCTTGCCAGAGTCGAGGCACGCAACTCTTGCAATGTCCTCCTGGTTCTCGAGAATAAACTTGAGCATTGTACGCAGCACCTTGCGGCGCTTGAGGAAGCTTGTTTGGGCCCATTTGACCTGGGCCGCTTGGGCTTTGGCGATTGCGCGGTCGATGCCGTCTGTTGTAGAGGGGTTGATGCGCCCAAGAGCTTCACCAGTCGCGGGAGCGTAGCATTGGATCAGCGAGGAGCCCGAAACCTATGCCAAGTCAGCCACGACAGTTACCACGCTTACTGCCCGAAGGAGCTATTTCATACCTTCAACCCCGGCTCCTCGAGCACTTCACCCTTCCATCCTTTCTTGGCTTGCTCGGGCGTTTCCACCGTGTACTTGACCGGCTCTTCAGGATCCGCGCGACACGTGATCCAGACAAAGGAAAGGGCAGCTATCCAGAGCGTACCGTACAAGATGAGGTTGAAGTCGTTGTCCGAGTGGGCGGTAATATTATCCATGTCGGGGGATTGGCGCGCAAGCGGCCAGATTTCGCGTCTCACCCGAGGGAAATATGACGCTGGACCCTGGCACGGAGCTAGGAACAGGAACAGGAATGGCGCTAAAACGCGTGGTCATCTGCAACCGAATAGGGACATCAACTCGACGCATTGTGGCAGCGGCTATCTATGACGCAGAAAATATATCTTGTGTACGGCGATCTGTATCAATGCTCCAGTACTAACTCGAATAGACCCGGCTGCGAAATACTAAAGAATATTGATTGCAATACTTAACTGTGATTCACATGACACGGACTTGGACTTGATATATGGTAATTTCGTGGTATCATTCATTTGAGCATCTATCATCCATTACTGTAATCACATGTTGTCTATGGCTGCACCACGGCTTCCTTGCCAGCCTGAAGTCGTCCCGATCCCGTCGCCCACTCGGCACCTATCGTGCGTTGTTCTTGGGCGCATCGAGGGGCGGTCCAGTGGGAGTAGTGTAGCACTTGGTCATACCGCCATCAATGACAAAGTCGGTTCCGTTGACGAAGCTACTCTCGTCGCTCGCAAGGAAGAGGACACCCTGAGCCTGCTCGATGGCCTCGCCAAAGCGGCCTGTGGGGAAGTGGACTTCGCGGCGATGGCGCTTCTCCTTGTCGTCACCAAGCCAGTCTTGCAGAAGAGGAGTGCTGGGGCTGTTAGCATTTGGACGTCACGTGGTGCACATGCAGAACCTACTTCAGTGGTGCTGGGCACAGCGAGTTGAATCTGAAGCCTTCACGTGCGTGGACCATGGCCAACTCCCGGGTCATGGCCAGCACGGCGCCCTTGCTGGCTGTGTAGGCAAGCTGTGGTGTGGCGCTACCGACCAGTGCCACAACACTCGCCGTGTTGATAACGCTCGTCTTCTTCTTGCCATGCTTCCTGAAGCTGTTGACTGCGTGCTTGCAGCCGAACCATACACCCTTGACGTTGATGGCCTGTGTCAAGTCCCAGATCTTCTCGGGCGTGTTGACAGCATCGTCGTCGTTGGCGTGCATGATTCCTGCGTTGTTGAACAGGACATCGACACCGCCCCAGGAATCCACGTGGTCAATCATGGCCTGGACATCGGCCTCCTTGGACACATCGGTGATCTTGGTCTCGACCTTCTTGGCCTCTGGAACCACCTCTTTCAGCTTGGCAGAGGCCTTCTCCAAGGCCGGGCCCGAAATGTCGCAGAGGAGAACATTGGCGCCCTCGCGAGCAAAGAGGATGCCGGTCTCGAGGCCGATTCCGCTGTACATGGTCAGTGTGTGATTGCAGGCGCGGGGTAGGTGTATGCGCCATCATCGGATCCACCAGCACACGAACAGCAACGGGGCGTTGAAATCCAAAGAGAGAAGTTGAGCAGATGCTGATGAGCAATGCAGCGTATGTACATGTACATGGAAGTGTTGCACATGGGGGTCTTGCTTACCCAGCTCCTCCGGTGATGATGCAGTTCTTGTTCTCTAGACGACCCATGTTCAAGTAGTAAAATGGAATTTCGACGGCTGTTCAGGCACAGGTGTAGTGAAGAAGCTGCAGTGGCATCAGCAGCCGTGGGCAGGGCGAAGTTTTGTATCACGGCGTGCAATATGACTAATAGTTACTGGGACAGCGTCATACGGACAGCAGCAGGCTGAGTCGTGGACGGGGAAGGTATGCCAGACGAGCAGCGACAACGGACAGCGGCCAGCGACTCCACACTCACCTCTGGTCGGCACGATCGGTGCACGTGTGTATTTGGTAACAAAGACAGATTCAAGAGAGCTTGCGAGGCAGCCTGGGCGGCGGGTAGCGACGGGGGCGGTGGGAGTGGTCATTCCGATAGCCGTGGGGCCGCAAATCGGCCCATGGCATTGATAGAGGGTGATAAGCCAGGCAAATGGGCGTTGGCCTTTGTCATAGTCGGGCGCGCCGTCGCCAGGCACATGATAGCAGCGTCGCTGGCTCGGCTGCTGCACGCGACATGTCCGCTGCACCCAAGATCCGAACCGTCTCTTCGTTTTTGCGTCGGAAAATGCCCCGCCATGGTCGAGGGCATCGTGTCCCGCTGGGGTAGGTGTGGCGGCGGCTGGCGGCTGGTCACGCGTGTCGCATGGGCAGTTATCTCTGTCGCACTGGAGCTGGCTGCATCGGGCAGCGTGGCCGCGAGGGGGAGGAGGGGCAGCAGATAGGTACTGTGCAGCGCAGACGGGCGACAAATGCAATATATAGCGAGGAGGGCGCCTGCATGGTGGTGGCTATGATGTCGCTTGCTGCATTGGCATCCTGATCCCATCGCCCCTCGTTCCCCTCCATCCTGCTCCCCCCTCATTGGCCCGAGCTCCATCGCCGTCTGCATTGCTATCGCTATCGCCCTCCCACTCCCCACAGTCGCGTGCCTGCTCGGAAACCTGCTCGGAAGCCGACCGCGCCGAAGCAGCCTTGTCCCCTGGCTGCCTGCCCTTCGCCCTTCCTGCTTTCCAAGCCGAAGCTGAAGCTGAAGCTGCTCGCCCTCCCTCACCATGGCTGCCGACTTCGACCCCTCCACATTGACGGCCGACCAGCTGCCCGAGCTGCTCAAAAATGACCTCGCCGTCAAAGTCGCCGGCATTGACGTCGATGGCATGCTGCGCGGAAAGCTCATGGCCAAGAAAAAGTTCCTCAGTATAGCCTCCGAGGGCTTTGGTTTCTGCAGTGTCGTCTTTGGCTGGGACATGCATGACAAGACATACTTCCGCGAGCTGGCCATATCAAACAAGGAGAATGGCTACCGCGACTTGGTAGCCATCCCGGATCTTTCGTCGTTTAGGAGGATACCGTGGGAGGACAATGTGCCCTTCTTCCTCGTCAGCTTCTACGACCCCGACACCAAGGCCTCGCTCAGCGCATGCCCAAGAAGCCTGCTGAAACGCGCCGTCGACAAGCTCAAGGAGAATGGCTATGGTGCCATGGCTGGAGGTGAGTCAGATGCCGGTGCAACATCGGGTACTGCGCCATGTCTATGAAGCTGATTGATATGCCAGCCGAGTACGAGTTCTACCAGTTCCGCGCGCCACAGAGCCACGACGGATCGGAAAAGAACACCTCGAGTACAGCTTCCTTTTTGCGCGACAATCCAGTCGATGCCCTGCCCAGCCTGACAGAGGGCATGTTTGGATACAGCATCACGCGACCAGTCCACAACCAAGAGTACTACTATGGCATCTTCAACGCATGCGCCCAGTTCGGCTGCGGCATTGAGGGATGGCACACCGAGTCTGGCCCTGGTGTCTTTGAAGCTGTAAGAAGCATATGCTGCAATGTGCTATAGACAGGTCAAGACTAACACACCACAGGCCCTCGAGTTTGGTGATATCCAGTCAATGGCAGACAAGGCCTCGCTCTTCAAGCTTGTCGTCAAGTCTCTCGGTTCCAAGTTCGGCATTACCCCGTGCTTCATGGCGAAACCGCGCGAGGGTCTTCCTGGCAACAGCGGACACATGCACGTTTCGATTGTGGACAAAGAGGGCAAGAACTTGTTCTACCGCGGCGAGGAGGACAAGAACGCCCCGTACCCAGACATCCGACACCTATCAGACCTGGGCCGGCATTTCCTGGCAGGTCTCATCGACGGTCTACCAGACATCATGCCCATCCTTGCTCCCAATGTCAACAGCTACAAGAGGCTAGTAGAGAATTTCTGGGCCCCAGTCACCGTATCATGGGGGCTTGAGCATCGCGCTGCCTCTATCCGTCTTATCGCGCCTCCCACTGCTTCTCCAAAAGCAACTAGGTTCGAGGTTCGCGTACCCGGTGCAGACACAAACCCTCACTTCGTACTTGCAGCCATATTAGCGCTAGGCTGGCGAGGCATTGAGAAGAAGATGGAAATCAGCATACCGCCACTCGGCAAGGGCGAAGATGTGGGCAGTGAAACCGACAAGGGCGAGCGACTGGCGAAGAGCCTAAAGGAAGCAACTGAGCGCTTTATGCGCAAAGAGAGTGTCGCCAGAGAAGTGTTTGGCGATCAGTTTGTCGACCACTTTGGTGGCACAAGACAACATGAAATCAGACTGTGGGACGAAGCAGTCACCGACTGGGAAGTCCGAAGATATATCGAGACTGTCTAAGAGACGGGAAGAAATGAATAACTCAATGACACGACTTGTCCATAGCGCAGAACCCTTTCTCCATTGGATTACTGGATACCTTAGATACCACAATTCTATACATCGTCTTGGTCAGTGTCCCAATGCTGTGTGATTAAGTATCATAAACTAATCTTGTATTTTTACCTTCTCGTGACAACTAGTATGCTGATCCCATATGCGAACGAATGAAGATACGGCACTATGTACCATGCAGCTTTAGTCGTAAGTGATCCAATGGCTGTGGACATTTTCCAAACTGAATATCCCATTCAAATTGTCTCCAACTCTGGTACCAAGTGTTTCCGGGGTAACGCATTGTTGACCAGACGGTCTCGAAGCGCTGCCAAAGCTTCCATTCTCATGTTCATGTTGAAATATGCCAGTGTAAGAGAAAATTATCTACATACTGCCAGTACCTGACGACAAGATTGTTTTCGCCTAACTCGGACATGAAGTACGTGTTAGGAATTGCCGTCCGAGAAGATTTTCGTGCCGTCGGGTATCTTCAGGGCCTGGAACGTGGCTATCCGTAGCATTCCATGGTCTTGGAATGGTATTCCCCGTGGATTTGAACCAAGATATGGTATCGAGTCATCTAAGACGGAATGACGACACCCTTGTGCATGCCATGAACCAAAGATGCAGCTGCCCGTGCCATCATTCGGTCCCCGTAAGAGGCGTTGCATCGGAGCGTCGACCTTCTTCCGAAGCAGTCGTTGGCGTTGCCACAACAGGAGCATTTTTCCTCTTTGTCTTGCTCAGTCTTGGTGCGGCGCCAACTGGAAATCGCTTTTTGCCACCACAGACACCGCATGTGACGACCAGTACATCTGCCCAAGGTTTCCTGTCGTCCTTGCTAGAGTTTTCGATGACATGAGTTGCCGTGCGCCCGGGAATGAGAATTGTGTTGCAGCTTTTGCACAGAGTCCGCTTCAGGTCCACGGCAAGTCGCAGCTGTCCTTTTCGTGATACTTGCTGGAGGTCAATTCCAAGCTCTAGCGCGACAGACGACCGTTTCTGAGTCGTGGGCGCCTCATCAACATCATCCTCTTCGCCTAGTGCAGGGTTTGGCGTGGCATTGTGCTGTGGCGTGCTTTGCAAGGTCAGGTATGTGGCAGCTTGGTAGAGAAAAGACGATCTCGCGTGCAAGTGTTTGTTCGGAATGCCCTTTGTTTTCGGGGCTTTGACTTTGCTCATGCTGCTGTCTTGGAAGCTTGACGAGACGCACGGAGAGTATACGGGCTGCGTGCGACAAGCCTGGGCTGTATATTTTGGCCGTTCCTGGTGCGCGCGTGCGCAATTCTCCTATTGGCAAACGAGAGGAAACATGGGAAAGGCTGAGGACGTTTGACATATCCACGGTTTGTGATTCATGGCGTCCGTTTGCGGTCTAGCGGCGCGCCCAGCCAGGTGCTCCGAGCTTTTTAGCTAAGTAGACATTCAGCGCCCAGCGACCGCTCTTCTCCACCCTCACCACCCATCTCCAACTTTGCCAGCAACTGCAATCTACGTCGACTTCGCGTGACTGTGGACTCGCAGGACTGCCGCTGATTCCTTGTTCTTGTAATTTTTCGTATAATTCCAGCTTCCCGACACCCTTGCGAAACGTCTTTGTTGAGCGGCCTTGCTTGCGACACGCGCAACCACCAATTCCACCCTACACTCACCCTTTTTTTTCAATCACACAATCCATCATGTCTCACGAGGAGGACCTCATCGACTACTCCGACGAGGAGATCCAGCCCACCGAGGCGCCTGCCAACGGTAGCGCAGCTGCAGCAAAGGGCGGTCTCGCCGCCGGCGACGCTGCTGGCGACAAGAAGGGCAGCTACGTCGGCATTCACTCTACCGGTTTCCGCGACTTTTTGCTCAAGGACGAGCTTGTGCGAGCGATTACGGACTGTGGCTTCGAACATCCTTCCGAGGGTTAGTCTAATCATTTCTCCCCTCAGCCTTATCCACCTACAAGCGTCTGTCCATCTACGAAACGAGCCATGTTTGTAAAAGAAAAGCGGCCATGATCTGTCTATACACGAGAACAGTGGCGAGGGACCCAGTGCCTTCCGCTACCAACGAGCCTCGACGCACACTGCAAATGTGGTTGCACCGGTACAAGCATCGAGAAGCCGAGTGGCGCCTGGCTGGCCTGCTCCAGTGGTCCTAGAGGACTGGTTTCGAGGGAGGAGCGCATGCTTGGATGCACAAGAGGAGGTGCTCATGGGAGAATGGGAGGATAGACAGACTGGCACGCGCGCTAGATGGGAGGATCTCGGCTACACAAGATGGACGGACGCTTCGCTCCCTACGCTTCGTTTCGACCGCTTTAGACTTATTCTGACATACTTTGTGCCCTACAGTCCAGCAAGTTACCATTCCCCAGGCCATCCTCGGAAACGACGTCCTCTGTCAGGCCAAGTCTGGTCTCGGAAAAACGGCCGTCTTCGTCCTCGCGACCCTCCAGCAAATGGACGAGAAGCCTGAGCCCGGTGTTGCGACTATCCTAGTCATGTGCCACACTCGTGAGCTGGCCTACCAGATTCGCAACGAATACAACCGTTTTGCCAAGTTCCTGCCCGACGTCAAGGTCGGTGTCTTCTACGGAGGAACACCTGTGCAAAAGGACATTGAGCTTCTCAGCAACAAGGACACACACCCGCACATCATTGTCGGAACACCCGGTCGTATCAATGCTCTCGTTCGCGACAAGCACCTCCGTCTCGCCAACTTGAAGCACTTTGTCCTCGATGAGTGCGACAAGATGCTTGACCAGCCTGGTCAGTACACCTTTTAAATTCACCATACATTTTACTAATGTTCTCTAGACATGCGCAACGATGTCCAATCCATCTTCCGTGCTACTCCCCAGCACAAGCAGGTGATGATGTTTTCGGCCACGTTGAACAAGGACGTGCGCGTTGTTTGCAAAAAGTTTATGCAGAACCCGCTTGAGATTTACGTCGACGACGAGAAGAAGCTGACGCTGCACGGTCTTCAGCAATACTACATGAAGCTTGACGAGAAGGAGAAGAACCGCAAACTCAACGACCTTCTTGACAGCCTGGAGTTCAACCAGGTCATTATCTTTGTCCGTTCAACTCTGCGCTGCTCTGAGCTTGACAAGCTTCTCCGCGAGTGCAATTTCCCCAGCACTGCAGTCCACTCTGGCATCAGCCAAGAAGAGCGGTATGTATTGTGTCAGTCGTGTTTATGTGCAATGCTAATATACAACAGTATCAAGCGCTACAAGGAGTTCAAGGAGTTCCAGACGCGTATTTGCGTGTCGACTGACATTTTCGGACGTGGTATTGATGTGGAGCGTATCAACGTGGCCATCAACTACGACATGCCTGACAAGGCGGACGCGTACCTTCACCGTGTGGGTCGTGCGGGACGTTTTGGAACAAAGGGTCTCAGTATTTCGTTTGTCAGCAGCCCTGACGACGAGGCTGTGCTCAAGTCGATTGAAGAGCGATTCCAAGTCGAACTTCCCGAGTTCCCCGAGGACGGTGTCAACTCGGCCACGTACATGGACAACTAAGGAATTGTGATTTGATTTTGGCCTGGTATCCGCGAACGAAGGAAATGGTTGCGCAAGAACCGGAGGCTATTTTGTCTGGACAAAAAAAGTTGCCGTACAGGTTGGGAATGGAGGGGGCGAGAGAGAGTGTGTGTTTCGTTGCAAGCAAGGACCGCGGTTTGCGGGGAAAATGGCAGAGACAGGGGCGCAGAGGGAGGGGTGATTTGTCGGGCTATTCTATATTTTTGTGGGGGATGAAAGATGTTTGACTAGGTGGTTGAGAGGAAGAAAGAAATTGATATGCAGTGTCTGATGAGTATTGTTGTTGTGTGACTGACTGACTGACTGTGATTGTGAGTGGGTGTGATGAACTGTTCCTGTGACTGAGTATGATTGAGTGTGGTTGAATGATTGACTATATATTTCATTGTGACTATGCAGCGTAGTTTATCCAAGAATATTAGGATATAGCGTTGTTAGCAAGGGAGAAGGGATGATTATATTTGTAATTCGATACAACAGACTAAAGAAAATTCCAATACTATTAATATAGTCAAGCCACAATGGAATTAATAGTACATACATAACCCAAGTCACTGTAGATTGAGATATGCTAGTTGAATAGGATGTGCAACCAACTAAAAAAAAACAGGGCTTTGATTAGGGGAGTCGATATAGTTTTGCAATGACTCAAGGTCCAAGGTTTACCACCCAACCAACTAGTGTAGTGTCTTGGAAAGCGTCTCTCTCTCTCTCTTGCTCTCTGTCCATGTTTCTATATTTGTAATTTCTTTTTTTTTACATATCAATTGGTATGAAAAAAAGATATAGGTACTTGAGTAAATAGATACAGCTAATGGCCAATGGTCTAGACACATGTGTGGCGCAGAAACAACAAAAAAAGGAGGATTATGTTTTTTTTTGACAGAGAGAGGACAGAGAATGACGTGATATGAGGTGGCATACACACAGACACAGACGGAACAGGCGGAGGTGGCGGCGACCAGAGTTTGTTGACGGGGCCAGCGAGTAATGGGTCGTTGCGTGTGTGTGTGTGTGTGTGTGTGTGAGAGAGAGAGTGTGTTCTGCAGGAATCAAAGTGCGTGCATAAGATTTGGCACTGGCGGCAGATGGCGCATGTCTTTCTGCTCTGTATGGAATTGATAGGCTGTGGCTTGTTTGTCGTTTATCAAAGTACCATCTTTTGGTCGTGCATTTACTGCAAAGAGCGAGGTATATATCACAGTAGTATCATATCTTATCCATAGTAAGGGATGAATGGAGGCTGAGTGAATGGATGCACAAAGTTTATTGCGAGATATATCGCGCGCGCCAGCACTTTACAGCCTGGGCGGGCGCCTGACTGCGACGACATCAAGGTCAGCTCGCAAAAAAAAAAGAAAAAAAGTTGGCAGCATGCCTGTTCGCCCACATGCAAGCAACAGCGCCGCCAAACTTGACACAGTTGATTCATTTCGCTTGTGCACATACGCCTGGCCGCATTGGGAGGGTAAGTGGTGTGAAGTGGCCATGGGCTATTGCGCGTCTCTTCATTTAGCCGGAGAAAAATTCGGAGGAGAAATAGGGAGGATAGGAAATGGGCGGGAGTGAGCCGTGGGTCAGCGGAGGATGGTGCGGGGAAGCGAAGGATGGTGCGAGGAGCAGGAGCAGGAGCTGGGAGCTGGGAGTGGGAGTGGGAGCGCGGTTGGGTGATGGCCAAAAAAAGGTTCACGCGTAGTAGACCTATGGCAAGCAGCAACCGAAGAGTCGGGCTGGGAAGGCGGGCCATGGTGCTCCACTGCGGGCGCGGTGCTGGAGCGCAACATGCAATTGTCTGCTCAGCATCAGGGCGATGCAAGCGGCCCAAGGCGTGACGATCGGCGACGGGCAGCCCACTCCCTGTCCGGCAGCCACCGACAGTGCCGGCCGAGGCTGGCGTCACTTGTCAGGCACAAGTGCAAGACGGCAACGGAGGGGGGAGGAGACTCGCTTAGTGGTAGTGGTAGGGTAGTGGTAGTAGGGAGAGGCGCGCGCCGGAAGCGGCTAGCGATGCGTCGGAAGGCTGAAGCCACTCGGAGCCTGTGATTCGACGCAGGCCAAGGGAGACGCAACATGCTGTTCCGATTCTTATGCAGTGAGCACGAGCGGCGACGAAAAATGGAAGGGCATGAACAAGGCCGCTTGCTTTGCTGGCACGGCGGCGTCACGGCCATGCGCCACGGCCGTCTAGGCGATTTTTCGCGGCCTTGTGCTATTACTCGGATGCGCAATCAGCAATTGTAATTGCTGTGGGGACGGTTGATTGTCCCAAAGCGTGCCGCTCCCTGTGCTTATGGCGTGGGCTATCTCCCATGGGCAGGCAGCGGTTTGGCGGAACGGCTAGGTGCCTGTCTATAGCCATGGAGCGAGCTTGTCATAATGTGCCTTGTTTCTTTTTTTGTTGGTTGATCTGGTATAGGAGGAACATGCGTGGTGTCGTGCTTGCGTGCGTCGTGGGGCGATGCGATGCGAATACGAGCGCCCGTACCCCATGGCGGCTGCCGTCGAGTCGTGGATACCCGTTGACAGAGGCGCAGGGCGTGTCGTGTCGGTGTGGTGCAGCATTTGACCGAGCAGCGACGCTTTTGTGAGGGTGCCAAGTAGCGTGCTACAGTAGAGTAGATAGGCTATGTAGGTGAGACGCACGGTAATTGCTGAGCGGCTTGGCCGCACGGGGTTGGTGTTGGGGGTGGGATTGGTAGTAGGCAGTGCGCCAGAGCAGAGGGGGAGGGGGGGGTTGGATGGTTGGGGCGGGAGGAAGGGAGGGGTGGAGGGAGGGGTGAGCAGGAGAGAGCAGGAGAGAGCAGGAGAGAGCAAGAGAGAGAGAGAGAGAGGGGTTAAGGGAGGCGCGGCCTGGCTCTTTCCCAAGGGACATGTTTATGGCAGCGGCCGTGGCAGCGGGGGAAAGGGTAATGGAGGCGACGAAGAAAGAGCAAGAGCAGCCAGGCTACCAGGGCAAGGGCGCAAACAATGCCGCGTTGAGCGTGGGTTGCGGCGGTCTTGGCAACATGTCCTATCCAGGCACACACACACACACGAGAAAACAGCACGCCCTCATCCCGACGCCCGATGGCTCGTCCATATCATATCGGTCGGGAGCGACAGCGACAGCGTGAGTGTGGCGGGTGCCTCAACCTCTGACACGGCAGGCGCAGTGTACATACAGTGCAGAGCAGAGCAGAACAGAGCAGTGCAGTGCAGCGCAGCCAGTCTTGTCGTGTCGTGTCGGCCCCGTCCACGTCGTGTGTGTGTGTGGGTGGGTGTGTGGGCGCGCGCATGGGCCCGACCGACGTGTCCGCCACTCTGGCTGCTGGAGAGATTTTCTGAGTGCAGCGGCTCGGGTGCGGGAAGCCATTGGAGCCGTGCGTCTTTTGTCGGTCAATACTCACACAGCTACATGGTAGGCGTAGATACAGTAGGCGTGTAGCTACGAGTGGTGCCGGGCGGAACGGCCGCTCTCGCAGTGGCCTTGGGCTGCTTGTGTGTCTAGTAATATATACAGGACAGTAGTACCGAGATGGCAGGGAGCGGCGGCGGCTGCGGCTGCGGCCTCAGCATTGAAGAGGGAGTGAGAGCGAGACCCACAGCTGCGCTGCTGCTGCCGTGAAGCCGTGAAGCCATGCCGCAGTGTAGTATGGATGTAGGACGGATGTAGTAGGTATGCTATGGATGGATGGGTGGAGAGGTGGATAGGCGGGCGGACGATGGGCAGGCCAAAATTAACATCAGAGTGCAGGGCGTGTTTGCTGGGCAGGGCGGGCGTGTCGGACAAGGCGAGCCCCTTTTTTCTTGGGCGTTGGAGTGGTGTGGGTGTGAATGTGGTGGGTGTAGGCAGCAGGCAGCCAGGCGGCCAGGCCAGCGCCGTTGGGAAGAGCAGGCTCCAGGCAAGACACGGACGGACTGACAGCGGTTGCACGGGTCACGCCTTCCTCTCCCAGTTGGACGGTGGAAGGGGCGTTGGGGCGGCGAGGGGCTTGGCCGACGCACACAGCGCACGCACACGCACACACACGCACACAGCACACGCGAACGTCGACGTCAGACGCCGCGACCGGGGGCGCGCTAGCCGCTTTGGGTGCGTGCGGCTAGGGTGCGCCGGCGCTGACGCTGCGCGAAGGGGCACAGCACACAACCACACAACCACACACAGCTCGCGGCCGGCAGAGCCCACGCCCACGCCCGTCCATTTGCTGCTGCCCATGCCGCTGCTGTCTGTCCGTCCATCCATCTATCATCTATCATCTATCGAGTAGCACTGTCTCTCATGCTTCCATATCTACGTACCAGACTTGCGCCCCCCCCCTCCCAGCCAGCCCAGCGCCGCCCAGCAGCCCTGACGACGCATGCGCCGTGCAGCTCGCCCAGGCTCGCTCGCTTTTGCAGATAGGCGGCCGCCTCTGATCTTCCTGCGCGGCCCACATGGCCCAGAGCCTGCTGGCGGATCTCCATGGAGCGTCGAGGGCGGTGCATGGTGGTGGTGGTGGTTGGGGTGCCGCGCAAGCACAAGCGTCCATGGCAGGGCCTGCGGATGCTCTAGTGCTAGTGCTAGTCGACTTCTGCATCCACATCTGCTCTGGCTCGGCGCCGATCCACTCGACGACGCCCTGCCCACTTGTTCTGCCCTGTCTGGCCCTGCGACGACGACTACGACGACGGCGGCGGCAGCAGCAGCAGCAGCAAGCAGCAGCAGCAGCAAGCAGCAGCAGCAGCAGCAAGACGATCGACTCAGTGTCCAGGCCCGTCTCCCCGCTACCCCCCGGTATACTCCCACACAGCTACACCACCTACACACGCACATCATGTACATACTACATGCACACATTCATACATACGCCGAATACATACACCCACACACACGTACATAGATAGATACCTACATACATACACACACACACACACACAACACCCCTAGATACTCCCGCCAGCTGCCACGGCCGCCGTCGCAAGACATGGCGCCACGGCAGCGCATGTGCCTTTTTTTTATGAAGCAAAAACAATGACGATACACAGCACGGCCCCGCCCACAATAAATCAGCGATGCAGCTGGCCGCCTCTGCGATAAGTGCCAGGCCCTGCGCCCAAAACATGCTAGCGCCTCCCAGTCCTGCCTGCGTGCGGGTTATCAAAGCAAAGCTCTCTGGCTGGCAGCGCAGCGCAGGAGCCCTTGCTGACCGACCAAGTGCGCTTCTCGTCCGCCCACTGCTCCGCCCCCCCCCCATCATACAAACCTCGCCCGTTGTCCCAATTTCTTTGAAGCTTGCTTTGCATCTTTGCTGTCAGCGTCCGCTCGCTTTTGCCAGAGTGCCCGCCGCGGAACCCGCGTCCACCCGTGCGTCCTTTCTCGCGCCCCGACGCCGTCTGCAGTAGCCGCAGCTTCCCCGTCCTCCATCCTCCGTCCTCTGCCACCACCGTCACGACCCAGCACCACCGCCCGACGCTTTCCATCCCTCCACCCTCCACCCACCGCCCAACCTCCCTCCCTCCCTCCCTCCTCCTCCTCCTCTCTCCTGCTCCGACTCCTCCCTCCCTTACTCCCCGCTTCCCCCCTCCTCTCTCTCTCTCTCTGTACTTCATCGCTTCATGATCTGTTCCGAATCCCCCCAGTGATTCGTTTTTCGCTCGGCCTTTGCACACTCGTTTCCGCTACTATCTTAATCGATAATTCCCCCCCTCTCCCGCTGCCGCTGCCGCTGCCCGCGCCGTTGCATTGCACTGCAATCGCGCTCCACTCCAAGCGCGGCGCACCCCCCTTTCGCCAACGTTTTGGCCCTTTAACCTCTGCAGCCGTCGCGCTCCTCTCAACCCTCCCGACACACACAGCCCCCCTGCAACGTCGACATGGCTCCCGCTGTCCCACGGTTACGCATTCTCTCAGGTTCGTCACTTTCCAGCAAGGGTCCTCGTTCAATCCTCGGTCCTCCAAATCTCCCCCTCCATGTCCACCTTGGTGCACGCCCTGTCGCCGTCTGCGCCGTCGCCCGCGTTCGAATTGACAATTGCTGACGCTCAACAGTGGGCGGTAATGCCGTCTCAGCCTTCCTATCATGGCGACTTCAAGCGACAAACGCCTGCGACGTCACCCTCGTCTGGAAATCGGGATACGAGAGCGTCGCTCAATACGGCATCACATTCAAGTGCGTCTTGCCCGCTCCATCATGTCCCCTGCTTGTCGTCTAACGCACTACAGATCCTCGCTCTACGGCAACGAGCGGTTCAAGCCCCATGCCGGTACGTTCCAGTGGCCCATCTTGCCACGCCAGACCACAGCTAACACTCGCCTCAGTCGTGCGCACACCCGAAGATGCCGCCCATTCTTCCAAGCAGCCTTTCGATTATGTCGTCCTCTGTGTCAAAGCTCTTCCCGATGTATACGATATCGCCAACATCATCGAGTCGGTCGTTTCTCCTCAGCACACGTGCATCCTTATGAACACAACACATAGTCTCGGCGTCGAATCATACCTCGAGCAGCGTTTCCCAACGAATGTGGTGCTTTCATTGGTATCCGGAGCAGAGATTTCACAGCTGGGAGCTAGCGAGTTTGAGCACAAGGGCGCAACAGACGTCTGGGTCGGCCCTGCCAACAAGAATGCCAACATCCCCCCTCAGATCCAGTCAGACATGGCCGAAGCTCTGTCCATGACATTGAACTCGGGCCAGGTCCACTGCAAGGTCTCCCACAACATACGACAGCAGCAGTACGAGCGAATGATAGGGTACGTTGCTGTTTCTGCCGTTGCACGCCCCAACTAACGTGACACAGGCCAATTGCTTTCCACCCCGCCAGCGTTGTGTTTGAGACACCCAACCATGCCGAACTAATAGAAAAGGTTGGCGTGAAACCTTTGGTCAATGGAGTGCTGGACGAGATGCTTGCCCTCGCAAAGGCCTCCGACTGCTCGTTTCCCGCCGACTTCCGGGAAAAAACGTTCCAAGACATGATTCGTCCCCAGGAGCACAACAGCACCATGTGGATGGACTTTGAGGCTAAGCGCCCTATGGAGATTGAGACATATCTCGGTGCTCCCTTGAAGCTTGCACAAGAAGCCGGTGTCGCCGTGCCCCGGATTGAAACGCTGTATGCAACGCTTCATCATATCAACATTACCAACCGAAACCGCCCTGCAGCGCCCGCAGTGGCCCCTAACCAACCCCCTCAGAACGGCATGCAACCGCCACCCAGGATGTCTTCGGCTCCCATGCCACGAGGACCCCCTTCTCAGGCCGCCATGATGAATGGAAACGGTCCTGTCAAGGGCGGTCCTCGCCCAGACAGCCGTGCCCCATCGGTCAACGGCGGTCCCCCAATGATGCGTCGTGGACCGCCCCCAGGCCCCAATGGCTATCCCCCACGGATGAACGGAGGCCCAAACGGCCAGCGACGCTCGTCGCTTGAAGAGAATGGAAACCTGGAAGAGTTTTCGCATCTTATGCTTTACGACGACATGGTACCCGATGGCCCCAACGGCGGTCCTTACGAGAGCGCAGGCAACTCCTCTAACAACGTGTCGCTTCGCGAAAGAGAACTGATGCTGAGGCAGAGGGAACTGCAGATTCGAGAGCAGGAGATGAACATGCGACGCGCGCCTGGTGGACCTGTGGGCCGCGGTGGAGGAGGAGGAGGTGGTGGAGGTGGTCCTATGAGGCCCGCCATGGGGCCTGGACCTGGCATGGGGCGAGGAAGGCCCCCGCCACCAGCCTCAATGGCCGGCTTCGATGACGACGATGACGGCGAAGACTTTTTCGATCCCATGGGCGGACGCGCGCCCATGATTGACCCGGACAACTTTGACATGATGAGCGTAACGTCTCGCCGCAACCGATCAGCACCCAGTGCTAAGCAGATTCGCCAGAACCCCGAGGGTGCAGGCTACGGCCCTGCTCCCAACCGTGGCCCGAGGAATCCCTTTTCACGTCCAGGAATGAGCAAGAATCGGAGTAGTGCCCGGATGATGGCCGATGTTCCAGGTCTTCACGACTCCATCATGAACAACCCACTCATGGGCTACTCGTCGGACCGCTACGGACATGTTGATCGCGGTGCCATAGGCGCACAGTCGAGGACCAACTCATTGACCTCAGCTCGTCTGGATGAGATTTCAGGCGGCGCAGGATACGGTGTTTACCCTACGCCCAACGGTCGCCGAGTCAGCCAGTCGCCGGGCAACCCCATGAGCCCCGGCGGCGGCAGGCCTGGCGGCCGACCATCACCGCCCAACGGGTTTCCTCCCAACGGCATGTCACCCAATGGGCGACCGTCGCCTCCAGGTATGGCACAGCCCCGACACCCCGGCCTGGAAAACGCAGGAGCACCACAACAGGTTGAACAGCACGCTGGGGTGAGCAATCTCTACCCGCCCAAGTCTCGTCCCCAAGTTCGAAGTCTGACTGGAAGCGCTTCCAACAGTAGCGCCGCTTTAGATTCTGAAAACTCTGCGCACAGCAGTCAAAGCAGCCTAGGACCCCGACCCCCCGTCGGCGTGCGGTAATGGGGCATGTCATGTTCGACTTTTGATTTGGTAGCGATGAGTTTTTGAGTATGTTGGCATGTTGGGTGGGCACCGTTTTCAGCTTTGGCGACCATGGCGAAATCATCTACTGCTTCTCTCTCGATGGACACATGCTTTCTCCTTGGACGGCATGTAGCGACACACTCTAGGCGACTCTTTCGACTTTTTTTTCTCTTCTTCTTCTTTTCATCTTGTTCCTCTTCTTCTTCTTTTCATCTTGTTCCTCTTCTTCTTCTACAGCAACAACAACAACAACTACTACACCTACTTCAACAACAACAAGCAAGACGTACACGCACCACACCATCACTAGCCGGGCGAGGGACCAAGCATGAGAGGCCCGTCGAGGGGGGTCGGGGCAGCTTCATGAACAAGCCGGGGCTTTGTCCCCACCAGGCGGATATTTAATGACGAATAGATTCGGGTTGGGAAAGGGGCACACACACACACACACACACACACACACACACACATTGACGTAAACACCGGGGCTCTGGACTTCCTAGGGTGCAGCTTTTTGGGATTTCTCTTTTGTCGCTATCGTACATACTTGTAGATCGCTGTTAGTGGGTGGGCACGAGGCTCTCTCGTTTTTCTTTTCTTTTTTGTTTGCCCTCCCCCCCTTTCCTTACATATGGGCCACCAGCTGGGGCAGCCCGCTGCTAATCATGTTTTTCCTTGTTTGCATGGGGTTTATGCTTGTGTGGGGGTTGGGTGTTTGCTCCTGCCACTTGGTTGCTATACTATGGAGTTTTCGATACATGCACATGGATTTTTCTGCCTGTAATTTTTCCCTATTTTTCTTCTTCTTCTTTCCTTGTTCCTGTTTTTTGTTCGTCTCTCTCTGTATGTCTTTGTATTTGTTTGTCTGGCATTCGCTTCTGTGTGGTTGGGCTGGGGGGGCTCGTGTATATTTTAACAGCAGCAACAAGTATGGAATTAGGGGGCAGGGCAGGCTGCAGCAGGATGGTTGTAGTGCAACACAAAAGCAAACGAAACGTTTCCTTGTCTGATACTCGAGAGCTGGGTATGAGGGGTGAGGTGAAACAAATGAGACATGGCGCGGTCGGGCCTTTGGGGGAGCCATGGGCGGGGATAAGCCGGCTAAAAAGGTGGCGCGGGCGCGGGCTCAGAGCGAGGGCCATGCAGGTCATGTGACGCCATGCAATGGCCATGCAAGCAATGCCATGGCAGGCAAAAGGCAGCATCATGTGTTCGCGGCTGACAGTGCGAGCTAAGACTGCAGAGGCCTGTCACGGGGGAACGATGCGTCTGCGGCCAAGCAGGGCCGAAGCGCGCCAGGACATGCTCCGCTGACAGTCGGGCGTGGTCGTGTGAGATTGCGGAGAGAGGTGTATACTGTAGTTGGGCCGGCCGGCCGCATCAGCCGCCTACGTCAAGGCGTGGAGCGGGTCTGTGTTAGAGTTCCTGGCTTCACGATTGCGACGATGCCATCGGCTACTTTAGGGGGGGGGGGCCTCCGCTAGCGTAACGTGGCAGAATCGCTGTGCGCGCGAGAGCCGTTGCGCGCGTGTACATGTACATTACATGTACTTGTACTTACATAGCTCGGTCGCATTCACAGCTCTGCTTCCCCCCAAGCCGCCGCGCTGCCATGCACGCCGCCGCGCTTGTTCATGTCTGCCCCTCGTCGTTCGTCATAGTACATCGCTGCAGAAAAGGCGGGGCAGCATGAGTGTGAGTGCGAGCAGCCCCAGTAGCCGCCTGCGCCGCAGCAGTACCACCACCATTCCCAGCGCCAGCTCCAGCTCCAGCTCCAGCGCCAGCGCCAGCAGCAGCGGCCCAACCCCAAGACTGAGCAAGCCACGGCGCCCGTTGCAGTTACAAAATCCTTCTCGTCCTCGCACTCGCGCGACCCACACGGCCGCCACGCTTCTTGTTCTCCTGCTAGCGCTGGGTACCGCCTTCTTCGCACCCCACCTTCCACACGCCATCCTGCGCATCCTCAGCAGACAACCCGCTCCCCCTCCTGGCTCCCCCCTCCAACCCCCGTTTGCTCTCCACGAGTCCCCAATCTGCCCCAACCCCCAGCCGCACGTCGAGTTTGTCGGCACCTTCAACACCCAGCACAAGCGCAGCATGACGCTCGCCGATCGCGCCAAGCAGGTTGCTGCCGAGTTTGACTTTAGCGACGATGCCCTCAACAAGGCTGTCAGCGAGTTCATCCGCGAGATGGGTATGCAGTGGCGCATGCATGAGCCGAGTCCGAGTGCTTGCTAACGGCGCGCGCAGACGAGGGTCTCGAGAAGAAGGGCACTGAAATGAGCCAAATCCCCTCTTACGTCACCGCGGTACCCAACGGTACGGAAAAGGTACGCCTACTAGTATGCGCCCTCGATCGGCGCTGCATGGCTAACAAGAGCAGGGCCTCTACATGGCCGTCGACCTGGGCGGCACCAACTTCCGCGTCTGCTCCATCAAGCTCCATGGCAACACCACCTTCTCCATTACCCAGAGCAAAGTCGCCATTCCCCGCGAGCTCATGGTCGCCAAGACGTCCAAGGAACTCTTCTCCTTCCTCGCCAAACAGATCGAGGCCTTCCTCAAGGCCCACCACGAAGAACACTATGCAGGAACCCTCAGGCGCAGACAGGGCCAGGCAGGCGAGCCCGAGGACGAGGAGATCTTTAACCTGGGCTTCACCTTTTCCTTCCCCGTGCAGCAGATCGGCATCAACAAGGGCCTGCTAATGCGCTGGACAAAGGGCTTTGACATTGAGGACGCTGTTGGCAAGGATGTATGCGCCCTGCTCCAAGCAGAGATTGACGAGCTGCACCTCCCTGTCAAGGTGGCCGCCTTGGTCAACGACACGGTCGGCACGCTCATGGCACGCTCATACACGTCTCCTGGCAAGACCGGCACCCTACTCGGGGCCATCTTTGGAACCGGTACCAACGGTGCCTACGTTGAGAAGCTCGACAAGGTCACCAAGCTCACAAACGACCAAGACGTCAGTGGATACGACAAGTCTACAGGAGAAATGATTGTCAACACCGAATGGGGCTCGTTTGACAACTCGCTCCGCACCCTGCCCAACAACCCATACGATATTGAGCTCGACAAGAACTCGGTCAACCCGGGTATCCAGATGTTTGAGAAGCGTGTGTCGGGCATGTTCCTGGGTGAGCTTCTACGTCTTGCTCTGCTCAAGCTCATCAAGGACCCCCAGGTCCCACTCTTCACCGACGACAACTCGTCGTCGAACGATATCCATAGCACCACACAGATTCACGATGGCAGCCCCATATGGAAGCAGTGGGGTATCGACACTAGCTTCCTCAGTGTGTGCGCTGGTGACCACAGCCCTGGCCTGCGCATGTTGAGACAGACGCTTGATAAGGAGTACGACATTTCTGCCGTCAGCGCTGAAGACGCAGAGGCCGTCCGCAAAATCGCCGGAGCCATTGGTCGCCGTGCAGCCCGTCTCGCTGCCGTGGCCATTGCCGGTATCGTTATCAACACTGGCCGTCTGGGTAAGCCCACAGCAGCAGCCACCACGGAGCACAAGGCGGGTGTTGAGCCCCCGCGCGGCGATGCCGGCGCTGAGCAGGGTGATGAGATTGACATTGGTGTCGATGGCTCCCTGGTAGAGTTTTACCCCAACTTTGAAGACTACATCCGTGAGGCTCTGCGCGCCGTGCCTAAAATTGGCACCGAGGGCGAGAAGAGAATCAGAATTGGCATCGCAAAGGATGGATCTGGTGTTGGTGCCGCGCTGATTGCGCTTGTTGCTGGAAAGGTTGGCTCCCCGCAGTAAAGCAATTTGCTGGCGAGGTTGAACCACCGTCCCCCCTCCCCCCCCATTCAACTCAAGACTGTGATGACTTGATATGATTGACAAATGTTGTATATATGGTTGGATTTTGTTTTTCGTATCCCTGAAGGCACGTGCGTGTCTTCTAGGAGAGAAGAATTCATCACCTTCCATTTTATTTTATTTCCAAGATTAGAAATTTACTAGAATGAAAAAAAAAATTATTATTCGCTAACCACGTGCGTCGGGGTTACTTGTTTGAACAAGAAAAGATTCCAATGTATGTGCACGACCATCATGACTACGGGCCACAAAAACCCCCCACTCTTATCACTCAACAAGGGAGAGAAGAAAAAAAGTACCATTAGTTGTATACATGGCGTATTTCCCCCTTTTTAAGACGAAGAAACAGTTGTACATATTTGTACCCTTTGATCTTTCCCTTTTCTCCGTTTTCTTTTTCCCGCTCTTCTTCTCCTCTTTATCTTCCTACTGTACTTTCTGTCTCTACATGCATTTTTTTTCTTTCTTTCTCTCTCTCTCTCTCTCTCTCTCTCTCCATAGTATTTGCTTTTTTCTTTTTTGTTCCGTCTGTCTAATTTCCCCGTCCCGTACCCAAGGACCTCGCCAAGCCAAGCCTCCCCTCCTGTATATGCATGGAAAGTAGAATAAAAAAAACATACATGCATGCGTGCGTGCATCAATGCATTCGACCATTGTGGTTAGAAAGGTTGCATGCATGGCGTCTGGGCTTGTGTGGAGATTTTTCCTTTTTTCTTTTTTTTTGAAAAAAAAGAAGGGAATTGGATAAAAATAGGTTGGTGAGGGAGCGGAGCGGAGGGGAGCGGAGGGGACTAGGTGGAGATGCAGGGCTTGGAGGCTGGATTGCGAAGGCTGTGAAGGCGCTGAGGGATGGGGAATGTGGCATGTGGCATGTGGCATGTAGCATATCAGGGCATCTGCTTTGCTATACTGTACTGTAGTGTGCTGTGCTTTGCTGTGCTGGGGAGTTTAGTGCATGTATATGTACGTGGTAGTAGTAGTGGTGTTGTTGAATAAGAAGAGTTTAATCTCAAGTTTGTTAGTAGGCGTTCTGTTGGAATAATGCGTGAAGGTGAGAGGGTAGGGGGGGGGATAAGAAAGATTGCTGCCAAGGAGTCGTGTCAACAGTGTAGCTACAATGGATAATGGGGTCTGTTAGTATCAAATAGATTCTACAGCTGTGTTTATGTGCTACTTTTACGTCCTCTAACCAAGTGTAGGCCGTGCTAAGGGTGAGTGCATGGGCTCCATGTACTGCACATGTACGTGTTCTTTGGACAGATACCGCATCTGATAATGAGGGAGAGCTGGGTCTTTTCTTTCTTATAAAGAGGGAGATGAGTGTAGAGGGATGAATGGCGACTTGTTCTACATTTCTTTGGCAAAGGCTGGAAAGAATGAGATACTGAACTACTACATTCTTTCATAGTGCAGGTACTTAAAAGAAAGAAGGGAGCTCCACTGCATTGTAGAATCCGCTCCGTCAACAGGTAGAAATGACGCATAAAACAGAACAGACAATCCACAGGGTTTATTTTGAAAGAATTATTTAATCTCTATTCCTAGGTGATAGAGCTATACATATATAGAAGCATTCATCTTGGTCGCTGATGACGTCTCGGATATAGTGTTAGTGCTTACTGTCTAGCTGCGACAATTAAGTAGCGCGCGCATGCCAATTGACGATGACAACTAGTACACTCTAGCTGGACGTGGAGCCTCCACGTCGCTCTACCCACAAGATGCTGAATGACTTGTTATTATGTTCTGGGCTGTAAGAGGCGACGCCAAAGAGAGTATTCACTAGATTGTACTCCGATGATATCCAATAGAGAGCTGCACTCCACACTGCGTAGCAAAGCTCTCCAGGCAACATACATGGGGAATGCAAATCCATCACAAGACCTGCGGCATAACTGGAAATCGGGCCGCAAGGCAGACAAAACAAAGGTTCCAAGACAAGGGTAAAAAGAGGCATATTACAGGGAATATCTTCTAGGTCCCCTCTTAGATGCGGCTCTATAAAAACCCGCGTCACTTAGCATGCTCTTGAACGGACGGACATGCCATCTTGTTTCCTCTCACAAAGTCTTTACGTACCTTACTCAATCACCTTCTGTAACCCACTTACCCCGAGCCTTTGAACCGTGTGCAGCGCAGCACGATGAAGTTCTTCTTCGCAGTCGTTCCCAGCCTGCTCGCTGTCTTCACCGCGCGCGTTGCAGCCGGAAACATCTGCGGCAATTGCGAGGTGGCCGGCCCAAAAGTCATCGTCTTCAACTGCTGGTACCCCCCCGCTATGAACTGCACTGCACAGTGCTCCCAGAAACAAGCAGACAATAAAGACATGGTGTGCTGCGTATGTCGTCCTAAAAAAGCGTTCCCCAATATGTGCGTTGGTCTAATTTCAAAGTAGGACGCCCCGGATTGTCCGCCCGTTTCGTGAGCTTGACATATGGTTCGTGTTCACCTATATGCACTAGAGACTCTTTAGTCCCAAAATGTAGATACATCATGGCATGAATGGACAGATGGCGCTTCGTCAACTACATGTATAATCCTGTTTTCTTTTTCATGGACGGCTCATGGGCTGGGAAGGATAGGTGGTGTGCGTTGGTCGTATATTTGGTACGCATCTAGTCATCTAGTCATTGCTCACAGTAGAGGAAGAATGTTAGAATACAGGCGTAACTTCAGCTACCATTGTGTTTGGTCTATATGGGTTTTCAGTTGTAGAATTCCGGTTGTCTTTATGCTTAACTGAATTTTGTGTGCTGAATTACAGGTTACTTAGCTTTGGTAGCTGACAAGCGCGCACTACCTGGTTTACGGTAACATTATCAGTCTAGCATTGCTGTTATTATAGCTCATTAATCATAGCCTTGTAGGTGGATGTATTCAAGTACTTCAGGTGTTACGTCGAAACGACTATGGTCACTGGCAGATAGCCCGAGAGTGAGATGCTCTCTGCAACTCAGACTTAGATATGCATGCGGTTCTAATCATCTGCCTCGGTTGGAACAACAACGCAATGGTGGTGAAAATATTTGCCTAAAACGTGTGCGAAAGATGGGCAAAAATAAGTACACTGTATCTTCAACCCATTATGCGCAACGCTCGCATAGCAAGCTGAACGACGCGATGACATGCATTCTAATTTCATGGACCGCCTACCCCGGCTACGTTCCAAACGCGTCATCTTTATTGTTTCGGTCTCTTGGGCTTTAACTCTTGACCAGAGCTACTTTGCTCTCTTTGCTACCACTTCGAGAGCAGCCTCGACTACGTCCTTGTTAGAAACAACTACACCTCCGTTCTCTCTACGAGTCGTAATACTGCAAGCCACAGGAGAGCGCTGATGAGGCTTTTGAGTGCACGGAATACGCTATCAGTTACATGGTCCCAGTTTAGTCGCAGAAGCATTGGCGGAAATAATGCGACATTCTACAGCCCTGATAGTACAAGACCAACCCTAACGATGTCAGGCATATAGTAGGCTCCGTTGTATCCAGAATCCAGAATATTTATTACAGTAGAAAACGACATCTACGACTACCAACTTGCACAGCCTGAAAGTAGTACAGAATAAACCCCACTATTTGTGAGCCTGGCAGGTGATAGGAGCCTGTTTAACTTTATCGATGTATTAGAAGTGATACCTAATTCCTCATTGCGTAGCAAGATACAATCGTAAACATCATTTTCAAACTAAAACCTAACTTTTAGTCGCATTAAAGACACTACTAAAGAAAATTGAATTGGAATTAAAAGAAGGGGTACCAGTCGCTTGTTCTCTCAATCCGGCTTTACCGGTATTCCGAGAGGGGTTGTATGAAACAAAATGTGATACGAAGACCCTATGTCCCTAGCATAGAACAAAAAAAAGAAAGACAAAAAGAGCGATTGCAACCGCCCGACCAGGGACTCGAACCCTGAGCCTTGAGATTAAAAGTCTCACGCGCTAACCAATTGTGCCAGCCGGGCTTGATGTTGCTGATGGCAAGATTCAAAATTTGAACCAATATCATCGATAAGAAAAGAGGTTGCTAAGCTTTGATTTAGTTTCACAGCCACCGAAACTCATATACATGCGAAATATCTTTTTTGATGCTTAAATGCGGACCCACAGGGGAGCTGGGGTAGTGTTACGTCATCGGACTAGCCCGGCTGAACCTACAACCCCGCAGCTAAGCCAAGCTTGCCCTTCTATGTAGCCTGACTCGAAACACGTTCTTTTAATACGACATTACGCTTACGACATGTAGATAGTGTTACACGATCATTTCTATCTCCTCTCAGCCTGCTTATGGCTATGGCTGCAGTCACCCAAATCCCGAGGGCTCTTGGAAAACAGTCGTAATCCTGGTCGTCTTTTGGAATGATGACATGAATATCCCTCGGGTTATAGGAACGCACCTCTTGTGCCTGTATTGCAGCAAGAATTCCTCGATCAAGTTAAGGATTAGGCCAGAAAATATCTGGTTGCATGAAACTGTGAGATAGATCCATTATTCATCACGTTGGCCCTACAACCAGCATAGAAACAAATACTTGGATAATGATCGAATACAGTCACTGGTTGCGCTACCGCAGAGAAATAGTCTGGTTTGTGCCACTTTTGGCTTGTCTTGAAATCACTTGCGCCAGTCGAACGTAAATGACGGATGACGAGCCCTGTAACGGGCTGCAACTCTTTTTGCCTGTTGCAACTAGGTTAGATAGAGAGACAGGTACAAGTCTTGGCCGGAGGTCCATATACATGAGAAAAATGATATGTCTGGATTGAGCAGGGCGTTTTTCTGGTCTAACTGCACCCACTGTAAGTGAATGGTGAATTTTATAAATGGCATGTGGGCTTGGCAAGTAAAGAAATCGAAAATCGATCGTCTATGTAATGACAAAGAAGTCAGTTGATTTGAAATAGGTACTACATATTAAGATACAATACTATGGAAATGAACAGTAAAGGTACAAGTCTCCATGAAAGGGCTTGTGACACAACACGGCTCGGTTACAGACTGCCATAGTCATAAGGGCTAGGAGTCGTATAGTCCTTCTTCTCCTCCATGAATCTCCCCCAGTAAATAACGAACATCGGTCGACAGATGATGTGCAAAACATGTTCCTTTTTGATCGGCTTTTCTGGATCGTATAAGCCAGTAGAATGAGCCATTAGGGGTCCAACTTCGTTCCGACAATACTTGGCGAGTGCCTCCATGTGTAGTGGAAGAAGGGGTACCTTGTCCTTCCGCACAACAATCACACTTCCCACGCTATTCTGCCACGGTAAGGAGCACCATCCCCAGCCTAAAGATCCGTTGCTAAGGTCAGACTTGGCGCTAGGGTCACAGCACTGATGCAGGAATGTTGCATCTTGGTTGTTGAAAGGGCTGTTGTGTTCGAACATCGCGTAGTCGCTGTTGGCCTATTCTGGATCCGGTGGACAGCGCCGTGTCAGAATAGGAATACCGATCCTATTAGCTATGTCCGAAGTGTCATGCATGGTGAAGATTACATCCGTAGTTGGAACCTCGACTTGCTCGAAGGGTGGTCTCTTGAACATCTTGACGTCGCCCACACAATTGATCCTCACACCTTTCACCTTTGCCTGAGCTTTGGGGGGTATGTATCCATATGAAAGGAAGTAATCAGCTACATGCCTGAAGTCGACCAGATCAATGTCTTTGCAAGCCGGTTGATCAAGGCCCTCTCCCAATCTTGCATGAACAACTATCGGACCCCTCCAATCGTGATACTCCCCAGGTTGAGTGGCGGTGATGGACGCTATACTCTTGTTTGAATGAGAGCCGTCTATCAAAAACGTGTCGCGGTATGAGATGAATATGGTGTTTGAAAGAGACCTCTTTAGTCTCGAATTGTACTGAATAGGCTCATTCTTTTCCAAAGCATCATTACCAATGATTGTGTCGGTTTCAGGCGCCTGGTAACAGCCTCCTTCATGATGATTGTTGTGCCACTTGCAAAGAAGCCAAGTGAATTCCGGTTTCCTTTTTTTGGGGTCAAATAGTATTGCACGGTAATGATCCGTAGTAGGTCGTCTGGAAGTAGCAAATGAGGAAAATGAGGCACAAAGGAGCTTGTGGGTTTTCCAATCTTCTTTCTGACACGCCTTAGAGCAGTATGAAGTGCACCTGCATCGCGCGCAATACTGGGCATTCTTTTTGTTGCAGATAATGCACGACTGTACGGTCGAAGAGCTGGACATGGTAGCGTGTAGAGCTAAAATGCGAGGGGCAGCGGCGCGGTCTTTATAGTAACTTAACAAAGCATGCAGTAACCTTTAATAATTGGATGATTGTGTATAGGTTTGCGTTTGCTAACACTTGTGTAACCCAACTATGATTACTTCTCATGATTGCAACGTCACACGAATGAGAACAACAGTGAGCTCGAAAGCGTCAGTACGAAAGTTCCATCGTACCTACAAGTAGTCCTGGCGGTTAGAAAAAACCTCAAAAATAGCATAGACTCTATCGTGAAGTTCAAGGATATAGCGCAAAAGTGCTGCTCATCCTTCTCAGTATGTGTGGCGTTTCATGGCATGGTTCAAAGCATCAGTAGATATAGCGATAACTAGCACTCATCAAGTTCATAGTGATCCATAAATCAAGACGGACATACCAAAAGCATAAATTCATAACTATAACACGCATAACTAGCAAAATCAAAACACTGGTCCAGCCATGTAAAACTGCAAACTGCTAACAATACCACTCAATGAAAACTAAGGAAAGGAAACACTGCCCCAAAATGAAACCCGAAGCTTATTTCTTCGTCTTCTGCTTCTCCACAATGTTCTTCACCTGCTTACTCAACATCTGCACTCCACTAGAGGCAATTCCAGCGAATGAGTTTGCCTTTTTCTGCCAGCTCTCTTCTTCGTCAAGTGCTTCCCACGTCATGAGCTTGTGCGGCGGCACAAAGTCCTCAAAACGTGTATTCTTGGGAGATCCTACAGGCGTATTATCACACACACCAACTTTTAAGCAGAAATCTTTCATCAAAACTCGTCAATTTTCTATCA